TCACTGATACATTGTTAGGCCTCAACCCGTCCTTGCTTATAAAGGACTTTTATATCAATCTGTTTTTTCTTCCCCCACAACTAATCTTAAATTGCCCCTGTGATGATGTTGATAAGGTAAAACATTAAATAAGTTGTCTTCCTATAATGTCTTAAGACTTAAATGCCTCTAAAGGCTCCCCAACAGAGCTAATACGCAAAATATTTACCAATACACTGCCTGATGCCTGAGACATCGTTCTACAATAGTTTTGAGATAAATATTCTAGTCTAAAATTTAACATATTTTTAGAACCCATTCATTCAGGTACATGCAGGGCATTGTGAAGCAAAATAGTCCTGAAAGAAAACTTATTTGTTTCAGATTTATAACTTTTTACCATCATTAACATTAACATATAAAAAGAGGCACGTGTAGGTTCACTGGTGGATTTGATAGCAAATAAAAGAGCAGTATTTGTGATTTAGACATCATAACCCTGGTTCCTATCACCACCACTCTAATTACATCAGTAAGTTTATCTACAGTGAACAATTTCACATCAAACCACTCTGAATGACTTTGTTTACATCTCAACAGCAGAATTTTAAACATTTGAAAAATTGTTAGATTTCCCCTTTAAACTGTTCTGACATCAGGTTCCTGTCAACACCACTGTGAACATTTCTGACTCGGCAAGTTTATCATCAACTTCTCTGAATGACATTGAATTATGCAGTTTTGAAAAAATGGTGGTATTCCCCTTTAATGTCATCTCCAAGCTGTTTCTGAAAAAAGTGCATGAGAATATATTCAAATTCTTAATTAATAGTCAGAATATTAGACCCTAATTGCTAAGTAGGAGAAAATAATGTGCATAATATATTATCTACATAAATATATTACAGCACAGGAATTAATGTACCTTAATCGTTTTGAATAAGCATTACTGGACTTTCTTTTTTTTTGCATATTACTTACATTGCTGTTAATACTTAATGAAACTTAAGCCTTCAAGTAAATGTATCTGCATAAATGAGGAATAAATCACTAAAGGCTACTGAGTAGTATTAAGGCAGTGAGTTTTATTGAGTACAGTGAGTGTCAGTGAGTACTGCAAGGGGAATTACATAAACTTTTTAGAATTTCTGCATAATTTAACTGTTGAGATGTAAACAGAGTTATTCAGAGTGGTTTGAGGTAAAAAGGTTTATTGCACAGACTCAGAGGCCACCATGTTTACAACACAAATACAGCCATTTTATTTGCTATCCAAAACCACCAGTGGACCTACACAAGTTTTTTAAATGTAAAGTTGATGGCAAAATAGTGGTAAATCTCTAAATGAATCTTCTTTTGGGGACTTTTTGGCCCCTGCATGAACCTGTCTGCCATGATTCACTTACAAAAATACATTTTTGGCCAAAACCTTCTCAAAACTATCATGAAACAATGTCTTAGTCAGCATATTTGCAGCAATTTCCTGTAATAACTCTCTGTGATATAGCTTGAGGAGGCTTAAAGTCTTTGGACGTCTGGTTCCTATCACCATCACTGCGAACAGTTCTGACTGTAGGTTTCTCCAGAATGGAGCATTTCACACCAAACCACTCTGAATGACTGTTCACATCTTAACGGTTTTATTATACAGAAATTTTTAAGGACTGGTGGAATTCCCCTTTAACAGTTTAGCTTGTATAATGTAGCTGAAGTGTGCTAGTAGCCAGTTATTGGGCTGACCTACAAACTCACGACCACTGACGTTCAGCACAAACCCACAACTGTGTCTAACAGCCGCGCGCTGCTCCAGGAATCTATGAGCCCTGACGTATGACATCGACCTCAAGGAGAGAGGGAGAGAGAGAGAGAGAGAGAGAGAGAGAGAGAGAGAGAAAGGAAAAAAATCCTGACTCCATAACTGCCCAGTAACAAGCCTCTCCTTCCTCATTGGCTGCTGCTCCGCGTGCGTTTGATCGTACCCTTAGACCAAATGACACACGCAGTTTGATCCATGTATACACAAAGTGCTGGTGAAAGCTCTAGCACAGTCAGGCCTATAAGCACCATTTAACTCTCAGCCCTGTCCGAAGGCCCTGACCGGTCGCTGCACCAAAACAAAACCTGCTTCACCTTCACCCATGTCCTAAATGTCCTAAAGTGTCTTTTTTATAGAAGAAGAATGCCATAGATTTATTCTGTACTTTTCCCTTTGTAGGCTTTAAAGGGGAATTCCACCTCTTTTTCAAAATTTATAAATATTTCAATAGTTGATACGTAAACAAAGTCATTCAAACTGGTTGGATATGAAATTTTTCATTGCAGAGAAACTTCAATATTTTTAATATGGCGGTGATCAGAACCCGGACACGCAAATATAGCCAATTTCTTACTTTTTGTATATAATGTTGATTGTAAAATAGTCGTTTTCTTTGGGGACTGTTTTTCTTTATGACACACTGCATGTACCTCTCCAACATGAATAGATAAAAAAATATGTTTTGAGCCAAAATCATATCTCTAAGCTACTGTAAAACAGTGTCTAAGACATCAGGCAGCGTATTCATAACTATTTCATGAACTAACTTTCTGTGAAAGAGCTTTTAGAGGCATTAAGCTCTTCAGACGTCTGATTCCTATCATCACCACTGTGAACTATTCTAAGTCGGTAGGTTTCTCTAAAATGGCGCATTTCACACCAAACCACTCTGAATGACTTACAGCTTAAGAATGTAGTAATTCAGAAATTTTGAAAAATTGGTGGAATTCCCCTTGAACCCGCACAATTCTTGCTACCCTATTTAAATGTAATTACACATAAAGTGTAAAGTTACCAATTTGGAGATACAAGGTTTTGTTCCATTGTATATATAAATATATATATATATATATATATATATATATATATATATATATGCATAAAACAACACAAAGTGGTCCTCAAGAGAAATAAAAAAGCTAAAGTACAAAAAAATGTAGGATATGTGTCCTTTAACTTTGAGTATCCCACAAGGGTTTGTTTTAACGCATCTGGGCTCTGACCGCTAGGCCTCGCGGGCGCCCTCATTACAGTACCTGCTAAAACGCAAAGCCCAAAACTCTGAGAGGAGAAAAAAAGCACTGTTTGTTTGCCAACATAACATGATTTCGCTGCCAATTCTTCACCATCAAAGAGCCTGCAGGAAAAAAGATGGATAAAGCCCCTCGATCTGGCGGCGGCGTAATTGCGGGGCCCCTCGTGCTAAACGAGCGTTCATTTAAATGAGCCCCTAATTGCCACATCTGTTAACCCAGTGAAGAGGAGGCAGTGGAGTGTCACACATCTGCTAATTGGTACAAACAGGTAGCAGATGCACTCTCTACTGCTGAGCATCTGCCAATTAAAGCTGAAAACTCAATGAGTACTGATTAGGGGAGAGAGAGAGAGAGAGAGAGAGAGAGAGTGAGAGAGAGAGAGAGAGAGAGAGAGAGAGAGAGAGAGAGACTATCCATTTGTGTAAAGGTAAACTGTTTTAAATCTTTATCACTCAATCATTAAATCTTCATTTGTCCCCTAGAGGTAATATAATCAATTACTGTTGATGATCAATTACATACACACACATTATCTAAGCCGCTTATCCTTTTCGGTTATGTGGGGTGCTGGAGCCTATCCCAGCATTCATTGGGCAGAAGGCAGGAAACACCCTGGACAGGTCGCCAGTCCATCGCAAGGCAGACACACAGACATATACAATCACACACACACACACTCACACCTAGGGGCAATTTAGTGTGTCCAATTCACCTGACCTCAAGTCTTTGGACTGTTGGAGGAAACTGGAGCATCTGGAGGAAACCCACACAGACATTTACAAATAATTATTAATAATTAATAAATGCCTAGATTAAATGAACTAAATATGCATATTATATATGTATAAATATATATATTTACAAATTATGTATATGTATAAATATATATATCTTATAAGCAACATGTTGCAAAATATCTCAACTATGAAAGTTGGCCTTGGCCAGAACAGCGATTTGTCAAAGTAGCCAGCAGAGGGCACTGACTTGAACATCTACACTGAGTGACCCGTTTATTGTGTATACCTACCTTGTACATACAGGACTGTACAAAAGTCAGAGATTACCATTCATTTCTTTAATTTCCAGTCAAAACAGCAATTAAGTACAAGTTATTCATTTTACAGTGTGATGAAAACAAAAAACAGAAGCCTCAACAACTAAATATAATTTTTTTCAGTATTTAGTGTTTCTGCACTTTGTATTTATTACAGCCTCCATTCTTTTCAGGAGACTCACTTTCAGTTTCTCAAATAAATCTGCAGACACGCCTCCAAAGTTCAGTCTTAGAAGCTGGTTGATCATTTTCTGAAGTAATCAAACACATTCAGTGGTGTTGAGGTCTGGACTCTGGGGTGGTCAGTCCATCGTTCAGCTTCTTTCTTTGATGTGTCCGTCTCCTTTTCTCAGCGAGGTTCTTCTTGAACAGCTACACATCCTTTCAGACCCACAGCGCTGAGTCGTCTTCTCACAGTGGAAGGATGGACAGAAACACCTGTGGATGTTTTCAGATCTGAAGCAGCTTGATTTTCTCCTCTCTCTCAGAGATGAAAGCTTTAAGTGCTGTTTATCTGATGGGGGCAGTTTTGATGGTCTACGACGTGTTTCAGGTGGTTGTTAGGAGATAACTTTTCCATGTGTTTTCCAAAACTCCTTTTACGAATCTCCCGTTTTGTTCACTTACTTTAGTTTAAGTTTCTCCATCTTTATGCAGGTGCATCATCTTATATCTGATCTCCTCAGAAATATCACCTAGCTTGTATTTAAGTCAAACGGGAAATTAAATAAATGAAAGATCATGAAAGTCTCTGACTTATGTACAGAACTGTCTACGGTAGATAATAAACTGGTAAGTCAATATATTTGCTTTAGTTTTTGTTTTTTTCATTCTGTGAATTCAGTAAATGACGTTTACACTCACTACAAAGTGATTTAAACTCAGAGAGGACAGCTCTAATACGAAATCTTGTACTTCATTTATTCAGCAAGACACTAATTATGAGGTATATGGTGTGAATCACCTTCACTTGAAAAGACATGTCACATGTTTGCAGGCTGGTTTTTCCAGAATGTCTGGATTCTTTAAAATTAATTGTAAAAAAAAAACAAGAACAACAAGACATATTATACACGAATCATTATAATCAACACTTTTCACAAAAGAAGGAGAAACACAATGTGATGAACGAACAAAATTGGAAACAAAGGAAACAAGGAAATAAATATTCAAGATTCATGACTTATAAAAAAGAACATAAAATTTGTTTAAAATAGTACAGACACCCAAATAAGGGTGTGTATGTTATGGAGTGATTCCTCTTGTGTTAATAAAGGTTATTAAATATGCACACATCACTTGCTATAATCTCTTATCTCTATGTGCTGCCTATATGGAGTGAAACTAGGAGCTGCACAAAGAACAATTAGGCCGGTTAGTTTCTCATAAGCCTTTTCAAATGCCGCTCACACCCTTTCCGTGCTCTGATGTGGCATTTAGGGAAAAGAAGGATGTGCAAATAAGGCTTGGGTAAATTTGAACAGTGAGAAAGGCGAGGAAAGCAAACGAGCTGGAACGAAACACAGCGATTTGCATGTCCTGTGATATGGTGGACTATGAACAATGAGTAAAAAAAAATCAATCGTGAAATGTGTGCAAGTTAAATTACATATTGGGAAATACATAAAAGATAAAATATCAAGCGAGCCATAACTTTTGCACAGGCTACATTGTATGTTTTTCCCCCAGTATGTTAAATTCACTAAATAAACAGTAACTGTGTCTTGTCTTTAGAAGATGTGTTAACTTATTTTCACTTAGAAAATCAACAAAGCGTCATTTGATCAGGGTTGCCAATACTTTTGCATGTCTGCATATACACTAAATGTCCAAAAGTATCTAGAAAGTCAGATTAATGAGTTAATGCAGCTACGTTTAAGGTCACCTATTGCTGACACAGGCATTCAGTTGCACTGCTTGTGTAATCTGCACTGACCAATGGCATGGGACGCTCCGGAGCAGCTGCATATGATCCTAAGGTCACCATAACCAATGTCAGGCGTCAGCTGGAGGGGTATAAAGCCCCCCAGCTTTGGGCTGCAGATCAGTGGAACTGCGTTGAGCAGTTGAACTGGGATGAGCTGGAGATCCAGAACTGATCATCTAAAAATCAGGAGCTGATCTCACTAATGCTCTTGTGATTGAATGCAATCAAATCCTCACAGCAATGTCCCAACATCTAGTGTAAAGCCTTCCCAGAAGAGTAGAGTCTGTTACTGCATTAAAGGAGGACAAACTCCCTATTAATGCCCTTGATTTCAGAAGAAGCACTGGAAGAGCTGGTGCCTACAAACATTTGGACAGTGTAGTGAATTAATAGTAAAGGATATAATGGATATAAAACTGGTTGGCAATACTGGCAATTCACATCATGTTAATATGGACATCGAGCTTTTCTTCAGTGCCTTCGGCTTGTTCTGATATGAGGGTTCCTGAGGCCGACCTCTTCCACCCGACGTCCAGTTAAGTTAGTATTTCTGGGAAAAAGTAGATACAATAGATAAAACAAGTGAATAATAAAATAATGCTAATGTTGCTAAAAGTGACTGAAAATGAATAGCCAACAATTAGCACTATGTAAAATACATCATGCTGACTTGCTGCCTGTTTCCATTCAATGTTTGCAGTGTTAGCATGTTCGGTCAAACCTTCAATACAGTTGCATACAAAAGTTTGTGCACCCCTGGTTAAAATACGTTTTGTTGATGTGAAAATAAGATGAACATGTAAGTTGAGTAGGGGTGCACAAATTTTTGCGCACTTACTGAAACACCAGCTGAAACACCAGCATAGACCAGCATGGATGGCCACCAGCAAAGTCAGCATATGTTGTGTTTTGGACACTGTGTGACCAGCTAAACCAGCACGAGACCAGCGCAAATCAGCATAAACCAGCTTCGTCCATGCTGGTCTGTGCTGCTTTTTTTCAGCAGGGCTTTTACAGTTCATACCTGCATTTGCTCATAAATCCATTGAAGGAAGAAGGTGACGTTTCCGTAAACGCCCGGCCTGTTTCTCACAGCACAGCCTTCGCCCCAGCTAGTATCTCCAATAAGCCACCACAGCGAACTGTCCTGAGTGACCAGAGGACCCCCACTGTCTCCCTGTAAGCAAGAGGGATAATGTCAGTCTCAGCTAATCTGGAAAAAATGATGTTTCAAAGAATTCCACTGATTTTTCAACATTTCTGCATAATTAAATGCAGATGTAAACAAAGATGTAAGCAAAGTCATTCAGAGAGTACGTTGATGTGAAACTCTCAGAGTCGGAGCATTTCTGCACAGCGAGTCCTTTCACATCAAACCACACTCAGTGACTACATCTCAGCAATTGAATTATTGAATTATAAACTCCTCTGACTTGAACTGTAAAGTAACCTGGCTGCCTTAACATTTTTATTTTACTGAACTGTAAATAATGCTTTGACAGAACATAGCAATCAAATTATTGTTTTGTTGACTTACTATTGAAGCTTCTGTAAACAAACCCACCTTTTTTACAGTGTAGCTGTCATTTTCAATATTAAATTCCAGGGCCAGACTGATATGTTTATGGCCCAATGAAATTGACCAGTATTAAGCTTTCATGTATTTACCAATACCTGTGAAATTCCCACCAATAAAGCATTTACATTGCCATGAAATATTTTTTTTGTTTTTTTTTTGTTATCATGAACACACAGCCAATTCCTGATGATTTTAAGGGTTTTGTCCTTTTTTGGGGCGGGGGAAGGTGGATCTGGTACTATTAGGTGAGCATTCGATACTATCTGGTGTGCACCTGAAAGTATCAGGTGCTCACCAGATAGTATCAAATGAAAGTATCAGGTGCTTACCAGATAGTATCGAATGAAGGTATCAGGTGCTCACCAGATAGTATTGAATGCTCACCTAAAATTGTATCGAATGCTCACCATATTGTATCTAGTGTGCACCTGATAGTATCTAGTGCGTACCTGATAGTATTGGTGCGCATCTAATGCTATCTGGTGCTTACCTGATAGTGTCTGGTGCGCACCTAATAGTATCCGGTGCTCACCTGATAGCATCTGGTGCTCACCACATAGTATCAGATGCTCACCTGATAGTACCTTGTGCACACCACATAGTATCTAGTGTACCATAGTATAGTATTTTTACCTTAAAAAATACTTCACATCCCTATAGGGGATCCATGATAAAGAGTAAGAGACTTGATAAAAATTATAATTAAAAAAACTAATTAACAGAGACCAACAAAACTGCTACAAAGGCTGTGAAGCTCCGCCCCCAATATTTATTTTTGCTACGTAAAGGGGCTCATCTGTTGTACACATGCACATACAGCGGTACAGCAATGGTCTCTACAGTGATATGTTACAGGTTGATGGCTAGGAAAACCCCCTTCTGATGATGTATCTTGAAGGGGGGAGGAACTTTTTAAAAACAACAGAATGCATGCTGGGTATTGTGGTGAGAGAACAAACGAAAAGGATACAAAATCATGAATTCGGTCGAGATTATTATTATTTAATAAATAATAAATAAATGTCTCACACTCAACAAATAACACATTAAACAGCAGCTTCAGGCTGCACTGCCCCTTTAAGACATTGCAAATTTTTGCTATTTATTTGACTTTAAAAACTGTCAAAAATAGTTTGCCAACCATATCAGCCATTAAAGCACTGTTAAACTAGAGCTATTTGGATTTTAATTTTTGACCATATCAGATTTTATTTAACAATATTATTTGTTTCCAACTCTTTAAAATCTGTATCATAATAAAACTTCAGTCGGATCCTGTTAATTATAGTACAGGGAAGCATCTGCCTGTATCTGATATGGGATGCTAACCTGGCAGGAATCCACTCCACCCTCCAGCTTGCCTGCACAGATCATGGTGTTGGTGATTTGTCCATTGTAGACCTGCCGGCTGTTGCAGATGGACCTGTCGATCAGCGAGACCCTGGCCTCTTGTAACGTAGTTGAGGGAGAACCTTTTGCCGAACATAAAATGCAGTCATTGATTAATCCTGTCTGAATTAGCAAAGCATTTAGCATGAGCAAATAAGGTAACCTAAAAAAAAAGCCAGTGACCAACAGGTGTCTGTTGAGTTTTTATACGTGGTGCTGATAATGATAAAATAGCGGTAATTATGAAATTATTTTTCTTCGGGGACTATTTTTCCTTACAACACCTTGCATATACCTTACTATTAATGGACTCAGTATTAATGTTTCAGGCATCCAGCAGCATATTCAGGAGGCATTAAATTCTTCAGACGTCTGGTTACTATCACCACCACGGTGAACAATTCTTACTCTGTAAGTTTCTCTAGAACAGAGCTTTTTATACCAAACCACACTGAATGACTTTGTTTATATATTAACCATTTAATTATGCAGGAATTTTGAAAAATCGGTGGCATTCCCTTAAAACCCATGGATCCATATAGGTTACTCACTCAAACCACTACATAACTTCTTGTATTAGGCCCTGTTTGAGCTAAATTACCAAACCTCTTCTGGTAAAACTAATCCAGCTAAAATAGGGTTTAAATAAAAAATAATGTATAATAATAAGTCTTGAGAATAATAATAAAATAATAACTCTGCTGTTTAAACAGTTAATAAATCAGGGGATCTATAGTCTACACTTTTTTCAGACAGAAACAGTCCTTTGACCTTTTTTGTTTTTGTATTTTCAGAACTGATATATGTAAATGAGCTATGTTCTTATTGGGTGCTCTGTATTGTGCCAAATTCTAACTACAGTGTGAATGGGTGGGGCTAAACCGCTGTGCACCAAATACGTAAATGTGTTGGTTTTCGTGACCACAAAAAATTCAAATTATTATTTTTGCAGCTTAGTTTCCATATATATGAACTGTACACTGTCAGAAATAAAGGTTCTGTGCAGGTATATTTTTTTTTGTGTTCATCATCAAACAACGTAAATGTGCCCTCAAAGGTACAACAGTGGTCTTAAGGTCTAATCATGTACCTTAAATAAGTTTTTCCAGGTGAAAAGTTCATATTTGTACCTTTTCATAACCCAAAGTTTTAAAACAGAACAGTAAAATAAAAAGCCTGGAGACGAGATGGGGTGTGTGGAGTCAGTACAGCTTAGAACATATCATTTCAATGGATTATGGTACAGTCATGTTCACCTGACTAAAGGTACTGAGATGGACCCTTGAGGATCCCACCCCAGTGACAAGAGGGGGACTGCCAGTGACCGTTTTGTACCTTTTTCTCTGAGAGTGTTTGCTGTGGAGACTGAATGGTATATTTTGAAATGTTTACATACTGCGTCAAACTCTTTTATTTCAAAAAAGTGAGGGAAACTTGTTTTTTCATGCTATGGGCCCTTTAAAGTCTCTCACAGTGGGAGACAAAAAGGCTCAGATGACAAAATGTCCATACCTTGGCTGAAAGTCGCTCCCCATCCAGTAATGAAACATTCTTGTGGTGCAGAAAAGCTGACTCCAGCATTGGGTAAGCACACTGGTCCAATACTCGCTAAAGTCAGGAAGAAACGGGTCGACGTTATCATATAATGCACAGCTTTCATGAACAAAATTACACAAAGATATAGCAGTGGGCATTATGGCCAAAAATTGATACAACAGTATAATCAAATTTTCTGGCTTTGTCATAGGTTATGGTATATATTTATGTTCTAAATTAAACCGTTGTAGATGCTTCGGTAAACTATTTTTTAATAAGAAGCATTTTAGCAACCCAAGCAAATGTGCGGAAAAATAAAAGCAAAACTGAATGATATTAAGATAAATACGGTGTCCGAGAAGACACCGTACTTCAGAAACTTCAGAAACGCTAAAAAACCAGTCACAACACAACAGAGGTGTTTCCGGAGGACACTCAAAGAGGACGGAGCCATTCAGACTTTTAAATTCTATACAGCACAAACATGCACCAGTAAAATTGAGTTAACTTTTATGTGAGCAGATTACTACTATCACTGTATCGCAATGTGAATTAGCTGTAGAGTGTAACTGTAAACGTTTAACTAGTGACATGTCAGACAGCAAACAAGCCAGCCAGGTTAACCATGAACTGGGGATGTGAGTGTCTGCAGTCTTACCTACTTCTGTCAGTGATTTTCTATAGGTATTCCATCCCCTTTGAGTCTTCCAGAGACACTTCCGTTGTGTTGTGACTCACTTCCGTTTTGTTGTGACTGGCTTTGCAGTGCTTCTGAAGTTGCATGTGTTTTCTTTAAGCCAGGCATACAGTGTGCAATTCTTGTTCTTTGGTGACAGCTGACACCGAATATCGGTTTGAATCGCCCATCGTGTTCGGCCAAAGCCTGTGATTTTTATACTCACTGTACGAAAAACACTCGGCCCAACTGACATGACGTGACATGGGTGCTCACACTGCATGTGAAATGCAGCCACTACGGACAGGTCCAATAATTTCCATTATACAACAGCGAGTTCCAGCCACGCAAGCTGATTGGTTGAGAGGTGTTCTAACTGTGCTGTATTTCGCCATAACATCACAGGTTTTTCACAAACACTGTATCACTCCACTGAGACGCCGTTGCTAAGCAACGACTTTGACAGCTGTAGGAGACGCTCAAGTGGTTTGAACGTTTTTACTTATTACTTTGTGCACAAACAGAAAATGGATACTTTTAAGATCACATTTGACCGACAGCCGATTTGGTCAGACTCTGAAGATGAGACTACACTAAATTCCCAAACTGCCAGTTGGTCTGTGTGGAGCTGGAGAACGAACTGCCGGCTGTGCAGCGAGTGGGCGGAGCTCGTTACTCTGACGTAGCAACAAGCTGCTTGTTAAGGAGCTATAATTTGGCGGAAGAAACTGCGAACATTAAAACATATCAAACGCCGTGTTCACGGCCCAGTTTATTAAATTTCATACTTTATTTATTTAACTGTTGTATAAAAGCAATAGAACACTCGAGATCGTGAATATGGCTGAATCTCAAATGGCTCCCTGCTCCCTACATAGTGCACTACATATTAAAATACTTGCTCCTGTACCCTTAAAGTGCACATATATAATAAATAGCCTTCTGAGATTCAGCCATGTGTGCACAATTCCATACAGGACAAACAGTGCACTATTTTGGTGTAGAAGCCAGAACTTAGTGCACTACATAGGAAGGAATGGGCCATTTGGATTCAGCCATTGACAAACCACTACAACAGCTTTGCTGACAAGGCTCTGACCACAGCATCATCCAAGTCATGTGGCCTCAAAAGGAATGAGAGGAAACAGACATGTGGCAATCGCTCTGGTGTCCATGCCAAGGCTAATCCCAAAATGGCTGGCTGTTCGCTGCCTCGAAAACAAATCAGACTACTTCAGATGCAACAAATAAGACAGCGGGAGGTGATCAAGGACTTATTTCATTTGAAATGTGACTGAAACATCCTGACTCAGTCCCTCAGCTAAACGGGTTAACTTTATCTGTGCTTGTTTGTGACTTTCCCAGGGGCAGCTTTAGGCTACGTTCACACAGCAGGTAAAAGTGGCCCAAATCCAATTTTCTCACCAAATCTGTTCACATTATCTTTTAAATGTTACCTGTATCCAGCATTTGTCTGAACAGATCACGCTCCTAAACTGACATGCATGTGCAAAATAACAATGCTTCCTGTGGCATGTTCACCCAGAGGTAAACAATCAGGACTGCCAACGGATGCTCCCAGAGATTTCAGTGTCATCTTTGCCAGCATCACAGGAGCCATTAAGACGTTCCAGTGGCTGAAAGCTGGGCTCATCACCCAGAATTATTTGGTCACGGCCACTTATTCGGCTTGCGTCCTTGGTTTCTTTAACCTTTTCTTTAAGACTTTTAACTTTAATACAGCAGCCATGTCCTTCTGTGGCTGCATACAGTCATTTCTTTCAAAATCTCTTTGAACACGGTGGCAGTTGTGACAAGTGCATTCTAATTTTGTTTGTACAGAAATGTCACCGTTGATGTTTGAGGTGTAGGCAGCACAAAATTATGACAAATGTCTGACTGGCGTAAAACTCACTTGAATTTCTGATTGCTGCAAATCGGCTATACACTGGATTTCAGCACCATGATGAAACATGAAAGTGTCCCAAATCGTGGAAAATGTCAGACTCAATGTGTTTTTTGCTGTTCACACTGCCACATAGTTAACACACCTGTGTCACATATGAGGAAAAAGATTGAATTTGGGTGACTTTTACCTGCTGTGTGACTGTAGTCTTAGTGATTCTGGGGCAAAAAAACAGGAATGGGGCCCCCTGGATGGAAATTTTAAAGTTAGTTGAGTCTCTGGCGTCATGAGTGGAATATCCATCTACACTGCAAAAATAGCTGCATCCCATTTCAGGGGCTGCGTCCTACGGAGGCTGCATTTGAAGGCCGGTTGCGTCACAGCGGTGCAACTAGGCTGTCCAATTTGAAGTCTCCTTCATATGCGGCTGAGAAACGTGTCCTTCTTTTCCATGGGAATGAAGGATCCAACGGATGGATCCTTGCCAGCCAACATATCCCGAGGTTCATTGCGTGCCGGCGAAGATTCATGAACATGGTGATGTCAGCAGAGGAGTTCAGTTTAAAACGAATGTATTGGGTTTAAACTGATTCGAATAGCTAATGATACAGATATTTAAAAAAGGCCATAAATATGGTCTGAAGCAAAACTTAATGAGCAGACAGAGCATCAAAGTTTCTGGCTTCATCTTCAATGAACGTTACAAGAACTTGACAGGAGCGGCGTTTCGTGACGCACCAGTAAGGGCAGGAACAACGGTGCTGTGACACAAGCAGAATATCCACCGTAGGGCAGACCGTCTCATTAAGGTTCAGCCTTTGTGGGTCTAAGCATCCTTCGAAGGACACGCCTTCGTAGACCCTCCTTCGAAGGATCCAGCCCCTGAATTGGGACACACTGAATGTCTTGAAATAATAAAAGAATCTTAAATCTAGTCAATATATGTCATTTTGATACTGTTGTAAGAATATTATAACTACTTGACTATTTTTTTTAAATATTTGCCCATTATATTTTTTTAAATATATTCTCATTATATTGGCAGAAAAATTGGCTTGTTTTAAAAAATATGAAGTATCTGCCAACAGAGTGAGATAATTTTGTACAAAGTAATGTAAAAGTAATGTAATGAGTAGTGAAATTACTTTTCCCACAAAGTAATAAGTAAGATAATCTCTTTACAGTTTGAGAGAAGTATTTAGTAACCTGTAATGGATTACTTATTTTAGGTAATTAGCCCAACACTGGAGCTATCTGTACATTAACACTAGCAATTATGTACTGCTGAGCATGTGCAGTGCTCTGTTCTGACTGAAAACACCAAGTTAGCTCTGGGAGTGTAGCGACAAAGCGTGGTCAGATACTTCAGCAGATTGCTTGCAGTTTATGGCACTTCCTGCACTTATGTTGTGCTGCTTGCATTCGCAATTAAAGCTGAAACGGGTAGCACATGCAAACTGCATACAAATACAGTCACAGATAATCTATATAGAGGAAATTTATGCTTCAAATGTATTGTGCATAATTACATAATTACATAATTGCATAATTTGTTAGAGACATACATATGTAGCCAAGCAAAGTACTAGTTAGTAACTGTAATGCTTTACATTATAAGTACTCACAAAAGCATCACTTGGGATCACCCCCAACACTGTTTAAACCCTTAATAAGCCAAGGGGCCATAAACAGGCCCAAAGTTTTATTGCACACTTCTATAACCTAAGAATAGCTCCATTAGTTTGCATTGAAGTCCCTGTAGTGACTGAATAATAAGCCTTTGTATGAAATAAACCTGGATTGTTAAGGGTTAATGAAGCTGTATTTCTTTGCAAAATATAAATAAACATTCCCTGGGAACTTTGGAATAATCACAAGCACAGTCTAGATCGTGCTATATATACTGTTGATGTTGGCCCCAAAACATAAAACATTTGCAAATCAAACAAAGAAGCTGCTGGTGTTCTCAGAATAACAAACTGACCACAGCAGAGTCCAGACCTCAACATCACTGAATGTGTTTTGGGTTGCTTGGATCATGAGAAGCAGAAAATGTAAACCAACTTCTATGACTGAACTTTAGGGGTGTGGCTGCAGATTTCTTTGAGAAACGCGTTTGTTTTGAAATGAAGGGTGCTGTCTGACTTTTGCACAGTGCTGTATATTTTCTGAGGAGTGTCTACTTACATGACAAACTGAGTGGCGCTGCCAGCTTCATCAGAGCAATATCGTTATCATTTGTTCTAGAATCAAACCCAGGGTGGGAGATGATCCTGCTGACCGAGTTGCCGCTGGTGGGCCGCATCTGTGTCTGAGTGAGATACCCTGCATACACGGTCCACTGAGCTGGCTGAGACAATCTGCACAATGACAAAGCGGCTTGACTGAGCATCACATGAGCAAGCACTCTTAATGATGTCAGAAAAGGGTTCTTTGGAGCAACGCCACAGAATTTGGTACCATTTTTGTAAAAGAGACATGCAAAGTTTATTTAAAGTTTACAGAACCTTCTCGTCATGTAAAGGTTTACGTTCAAGTCAAGAACCATTTTGGAACCTTTTTTTTCACATCATGCTGGACTTTTGCACATCAAATGAACATGCAGTGTGCGCTGGAGATTTCACATAGACGTACGTTTGAAAGCAGTGTGCAGCCGAGACGATCCATGACGGGGTGATGATGGATCCTCCGCACAGGTGGCGCCCGGAACTGTGCAGGCTAACCTGCCAAGGCCAACGAGTCTGGCTGGCCACTTGTTCCCCTCCAACTATCCGCGTCTGAGCAGTAGATTTGCCACAGTCTGGAGTACAGCAGAATAAAGAAATACTAATAACTCTGGTCCAGTTAAGGTAGTATTATGTATTATTAGTATTATTGGATTCAGCCATTAGGAATTTGAATTTAAACACGAAAGTCTGACTTTGAATATTAGTGTGTTCACTAATTGAATCATTTTGAATCATTCTATTTTAAATTCTGAACTGAAATTGAATTTTAATGTTTAGAAAAGAGCAGCAAACACTGACCAGACACTTCATGAAGTCTACCTCTTTGTTTCTACACTCTTTTTCCATTTTATCAGCTCCACTTACTATATAGGAGCACTTTGTAGTTCTACAATTACAGACTGTAGTCCATCTGTTTCTCTGCATGCTTTGTTACCCTGATCTTCAATGGTCAGGACCCCCACAGGACCCTCACAGAGCAGGTATCGTTCAGTGGTGGATCATTCTCAGCACTGCAGTAACACTGATGTGGTGGTGGTGTGTTAGTGTGTGTTGTGCTGGTCTGAGTGGATCAGACACAGCAGTGCTGCTGGAGTTTATAAACACCTCAGTGTCACTGCTGGACTGAGAATAGTCCACCAACCAAAAATATCCAGCCAACAGCGTCCTGTGGGCAGCGCCCTGTGACCACTGATGAAGGTAGAGGTTGATGCTGCAGCAACAGAATTCAGCAACAGAGTTCAGAATTTCAGATGTTTTGGTTCTGATTTTTGCGTTTAAATTCAAATCTCTAATGGCATGAATCCATATATGAAACTCCATAAACTATAACTAATTATAGTAAAGCACTAAATCACCCTTTAATTCAGATTAATTTCGCCTGAAAGTAAATGAAAAGAATCTGAATCACAGCAAAATAAAAACACATGACAGTGATTTTGAAAAGTGTAGAAGTTTAAAGTGTCAGGTTGGTGTTTTAGCTGAGTCCCTTCATTTCTGGTCATGCTTCAGTTAAGGCTGGCTGGGGTGAAGGTCACCTTGACCAGTGTAAGGAAAGAGTAGAGTCTGAATGATTTACCTATACACTTCAGCGTTACTGCTGCCTTAGTCGGGCAGTATGAACTGGAGGAGCGGAAAGAATACATTAATGAAACATTAAATCAGTGAAAAATTAATGTTAAATGTTAAATGTTTTGGGGTATTTTAGTTAAAACATGATAAACAAACAGTTGCAGAACATAAATGCAAGTTTTTAGTAAAGAAATGTCTCCTAAATTAGTTCAGTTAACCATGTATAAGACCTATGTACAACAGCAACAACCACAACAACAACCACAACAATAATAATAATAATAATAATAATTGGTGTTATTAGTTATTATTTAAGTCAACAATAATAATAATAATAATAATAAATCATTATTATTATTATTATTATCATTATTATTATTGTTGTTATTGTTGTTATGGTTGTTATTATTATTAATTATTGTTATTATTGGTTTATTATTAGTTATTATTTAAGTAAAATAAAATGGCATTACAACTATTACCATTGTTATTCTTCTTCTTATTATTATTAGTAGTAGTATTGATGCTACAGTAATAACAACAGCAACAATAACAAAACAAAACAATCTTTAAAATAACATACTATAACTATTATTACTACTAATAATAATAATTATACATGTACAGGACAGGATGTCTTCTAATAGAATTGTTATTCATTGCAATTATATTATTACTATTAATATTAGTATTACTACTACTACTAATAATAATAATAACCATCAGCATCATCATCATCATCATTGCTATTATTATTTGTTGTAGTAGGAGTAACAGTAGTAGTAAAACAATACTAAAAATAAAATTTTACTATTATGTAAAGTGTATGTAATAATAATAATAATAATAATAATAACAATAATAATAATAATATTAGTAGTAGTAGTAGTAGTAGTAGTAATAGTATTCGTATTAACAGTAGTAGAACAACAATACTAAAAAAATAAAATTCTAATAATATTTAAAGCATTATAATTATTATTAATTACAAATGTTATAATAATAATAAAATCCCCACCGCACCTCTCAGTGAGAGAACTGTGTGCAAACTCTTCATTAGAGTAGTCAGAATTCAACATCATGTAGCCGTCTGAGGACCCAGAGCCTGGACTCGTCTGACCAAAGCCAACATAGTCCGTCCTGAAAGGTCAGACACAGCACTTCCACTAAAAAGTGTTTAGAACATTAGATTTCAGGTGATAGAGGAAGCTGAGCTAAATGCCTTCTGACCTGCTGTATCCGATCGCCATGCAGGTTGTCCTCCCAATGCTGTTGTCCCATCTGTACGAACACACCGGCTTCCATTTTTGGTCTTGTGTAGAGAAACTCTGCAGCTGGAAATTTGGTCCATACAAACGAACTAAAAAAACATCCACAATAACGCTGGAGTCAGTTGAGCTCTGGCACAAAATCTGCATTATTTAACCATTTATCCAGCACTGAAAGAAACACTGAGTTGCTGCTTTATTAAAAACCCACATATTTAAAAACCAATGCCATCTTAAAGGCCTTTCCATTACTGTATTAGCTCAAGATAAACATGTTTGACGAGTTATCGGAGGGATCGAGTGAACATGAATGTTAAATTTGCAGAACTAAAACAGAAATTGCGCTCTGCCGTGGTTCCCTTTTCAAACTCCAAAATAATGGAGGACAAAGCTGTTTATAAGCCATGGTGGTAAAACTGCTTTAACTTAATATTTCAAAACCTCAACATTCAATTTGTTGGACTTTAGGTTATAAACTCTTCATTTAAACATGACTGCTGATATAACTTCATAACTTTACTAGCTTAAACAGCAAAAAGAGTTTACAGACAGACAAAACAATTAACCACATATTTTATGTTCCAATTTATGAGATTAGCATTGCTAAGTTTGCTGGCCGACTAACTCACTGAACTTAACCTAGCCGAGGACCACTTGTACTGCGAGTGGCCAATTGTGTAACACACACATCAAGTGGTGAGTCAAAGTTGGCAAAAAATATTAAAATAGGAACCTTGTATTCTCTTAAAAAGATGGTTCTTCAAGGGTTCTTTAGTAAAGACAATGGTTCTATATCGAACCATGGACACTCAATAAGCCATTTGCATGGTTAAATGGTTCTTTGCATGGTGAAATGGTTTTTCAGATTGATGGAGAATGTGTTGTGTATGGTTCTATATATAGAACCTTTTTTGAAAATGGTTCTATATATAGAATCATATACAATACATTCTCCATTTCACCATGCAAAGATCCATTTAAGCATGGTTCCGTAAGTGTTCAAGGTTCTATATAGAACCACTGTTGTTACTAAAGAAGAGCCATCTTATTTAAGTGTAGCTACACTCATTGGCCATTTTATCGGAAACACCTGCCATATAGGTGCAATTTGTAGGTTTATAGTTACTGACTGTACCATAAACAATTTATCAGCCACCCTCTTCCGGTTCATCAATGGAAAGAGCCACCATAAGACCACCACTGACCACATATTATTCGGCTAGACCACCAGATTACCACTGTTGAGATATTATTTGTGTGGTGGCTCATTCTCAGCTCAGCATTGCCGCTGGTATCAGGCACAGTGGTGTTGATAGTGTTTTTAGACATTGTACAATCTAATGTGCAACACATTAAAGGATCTAATGCTGAAAAAGATCATTACAGCAGTGAGCCTCGTCCTCTCCTGATGAACAATCTATCTTTCCATCACACCACTGTGAAGAGCTGATGCATGCCCCATCGTCCCCGCACCTCTGACCCAGAGCGCACGTCTTGGACACTGTTACAACACATGGAGATCAGACTTTAGATACAGTCAAATGAGTTCAGATTCTCCTCTGCTACTTGAAAGGATGAATTTATATTGACATTACACATCCTTATTGTCTCCATGTGGCATGCATGCATAAGCACTCAATACTTCATTTAAAATGTGCAACATTTAGCATAACATTTTTAGCATTTATTAACAGCTTATGTCAGTATCTGCTAAATGATTAGAGTTCAGCCTTCAATTTGGGCCATACATGTAAAAACTCGGTCAAAACGTGGAAAAAAGCACCTCTGTGATAATGTTAATTTCTGCTAGCATCCTTATGAGATTCTAGAAGTTTCTTAGGGCTGACGATAACAGCGATTCTAACATTTTTTGGCCATTCCAGATTAAACACAGGCATCTGAAGCTTCTAAAAGATTTACTTTTAAAAGATTACTTTTTTAACAGTTTCACAGTCATTCTTTAAGTGGAGAGATCTGTTATAGAGCGGCTGCCGCTGCTGTTTTCCATTTCTAACAACCCACTGGTTAAGTTGCCACTCAGTGTCGGTGAGGTGTCTAGAATTTCCAGAAGACATTTTTTCTCACAAAATTGATCCTGCCTAATAAGTGTGTTTGCATGCACTTAATAATCAGATAACTGCAGAAAATCAGACTTTGTCAGCAATCCAGTCAACAATTTTAACATGCACTTGAGTAATCAGATAATGGGGAAACTCTGGGTCAGACAGTAATCAGATTTCTGCTTTTCAACCAGCCAATAAACTCTCAGAAGAAGACGTGACGTAAACCTAATGTAAAACTCAAACTATATGTTGCGGCTTTTTTTTAAAAAAACATTGCGCCACTTTACCTAAAAAATATAAACATACATCATCTAGAAGATAAAAAAAAAATTTTTAATCCTCCATTTCGTCAGGCATGTAGTCGGTCACTCCAAAAGTGTTTTGCTGTGTCTCGCGGCGACACTGTTTACATGCACTGAGAAATCTGATTACTGAGCTAAAATCCAGCTCTGTTTTTTGGATTTCTTAATCAGATTCCTAGACCTTACTCCGATGTAAGAAATCGGTGTATGCTGTTTACATGACCATTGGAATAATCAGATAACTGCAGAAATTCTATTATGATGATTATTGAGTGCATGTAAACACACTAATTGAAAATCATGATTGCTCTGTCACTTCGTACTTGTGCTGATGTTAATAGAACACTTTAGGACTTTTCTTCACCTCCTAGCCAATTGGAAAGCTTGCTTAGCTATGTCTATCCAGATACCACGGAGAGAAACGATTCCTGATCAGACAGTTTTCCACTCGACAAAAATGTAACACTTTTGTTTTTATCCAAAACATTGGTAATACTGTAATACTTGCAGATGATTGTGTTGAATAAAATGAACTATAAATTACAGACATGTATTTTTTAGTTCCCAGAAATGATTAGGTCTTCTCTCAAGGCCTAGAAGGACCTTGATGGCCCTTAAGCCAAAATGATATGGGAAATTATGCATGAAAATTATGGGGCTCTGCCTTATAAGTTCCACTACTTGGGAATTATGCTTCATAACAGTGTAATATGGAGCAGGTGTCACTTCATGTCATGTATATACAATACCATTTACTTCATAAAACACCTCATCATCATGTAAATACTGACATAACCTGTTCATAAACACCCAAGCAGTGCTTACGCATGTGTTATGAAGTTCTTATGCAAGTAGCCTAGTCAAATAGTAATGTTACTAAAAGGTGAAGATGAAAGTCACAAATCAACTGCATCGGTTTTGGAATGCCACAATCAATTGTAATCGATTATAAAAAATAATAATTCTCAGCTAAATTTGGGAAAGGCTTGCCAAATTTTTTTTATTGTTTGTTTGGCACGACTGTGTACATAGTTCCTCCTGCCATATTTGTGCATTCATTGTGTTTTTAAAAGTAAATCTGAATCAAAGCAAAACAAGTGAATTGAATCATAGCGAAATTTAAATTTTTGGAATGCACTTGAATTATTATGAGGTCAAGGACTTTCACACAGACTGACAGTGGCCTGGATGATGATTGTGTGTTACTTACAGAAGTACCAGATCAGCACAGCTGCTACTCCCAGGACAACTAAGATGAATATGACCGTGGCCATTATGCAGGGGCATCGACTTTTCCTGGCTGTTGTCAGAGGAGCCAAAACCCAGGGACAAAGCACAGTGAAAGATTATACAGTTAATGGACTGTGAACACCTGAAACTAGAGCAGGGTTTCCCAACCCAGTCCACAGGGACCACGAGACGGTCCACATTTTTGCTTTATTACAATCCCAACACGCCTGAGCCAAGCAACTAAAGCAATACATGGTACAGGAGTACATTAAGATTCCGGAAAAGAAAGACCCTCCAGCATATCCACACTGCACTTGGGGAAATCCCTGCCCACATCTTGAAGGGCATTCTTACTCTCTAAATGGTTGAGGGAAGTTTCTACTGGCAGCGCCTTTGTTTTACTCAAAGCAATATCCCAGGATGTATTGTTGTTTTAGCATAGCCCTATAGTGAAGAGCTAAATGTAGAGCTAACAGCATGAGATATATACATCCTGCTGACATTGAATAGCCAAGTGTGATCATTTTGTCATTGTCTGTGCATGGAATATTTTTCAGTAATGCACAATTTCATAAAACTAATCTAAACACTAGCTTACTCTGACAGCAGAGCAGTCCACTAGTTACCTAAGTGTACTACAAAACACTAGGGGGAAATCCTGACTCCATGGTTTCTAAGTGTCTGAGTGCTCATGCTGAAGGAAGTTGATTTCAATAAAACTCAATTTCTTGAAACTAAACACTATCTATCATTAGCTAACATTGGCTTAACATTAGCTTGATAACAGAGAAGTTTGCTAGTTAGCTAAGTGTGCTGAAGGCTACTGATGTATCTGCATCTTGCATAGCTTCATGTAGGCCATGCATGATGCAGACACAAAGTTCAGGAGAGTGGAGAGAAGTCAAAGAGAAGAAGAAAGAGCATAAATGTGGACCATCTGGGCTACATACGAGAGAAAATGGGAAACACTGCCCTGGCAGAAGGGTCAAGTACCTTTGTGGGCCGTGGTGGGGTGGGGCTGGCCGGCTGTGATAGTGTTGTGTGTGTTAATCGGTGTGGGCTGGGTGGTAGGGTACTGTGGGACGGTGGGATACACCCCCGGGTGATAGCTGGGCGCGTATGGAGGAGGCCGATCGTCCTCATGCTGAAACCCGTAGTTTACATGAGACCTATTCTGCATCTGAAAGGAAAGATGGGGAAGATTCAGGCAAATCAGGAAATATCAATAAATGGGCCTACAGGTGATTAGAGATCACACTGTAAAATTTGTGCTTGATTCAAATGTGTACATCTGTCTATGTAAATGTCTGTTCTGATTGGCTGCCCTGTATTGTGCCTCATTCAGCGTGAATGGGCCAACATATGTAAATGTGTTGTCTTTCATGACATCACAATAACAATGAATTCAGAACAGGCTGTTTTTGCAGCTTAGTTTCTATACATTTGAGTCCTTTAAGCCTGGAAATGTTTCATTCAATTGAGCATTAATGCAGCTAGGAATTACATGATAGCACAGAGTTTGATCAAAAATCTTGCATGGTTTAAACTTCTGATGATCCCCACATATTTCATAGGTGCTATCATTTTGAAGCGGCGTCATAGAATTGCAGCTCAGAGCTCTTGAAAAAGTCTGACTTTCCGAATGGGAATTATGGGTTGGAGAGCCGTTCAAATGGATTTTTCCCAGGACCTTCCCAAGTCTGGACTGGTCATGAATGCAGCCTTCCTTCTGACATTTTCTCCCCCTCTCTGATTCCTTCTTCTATTATTTACCTTCATCCCACATTCACCAGTTTAGGCCTGGATGTAAGAACTCTTATATTATCATTTGATTTCTTACCTGCTTTCCTGTTTCCACTATTAAAAGTAATTTACACTCACTGAATCATTTACCTGCCTGCCACATTCCCTGTCGTTGCTGAAAATGTACGAGAAATGTTTTCCTTATTAAGCCTCTATTGCTAAAATATGCTACAACAAGCTACAGTTTTGCATTAGCATCTGAAATATCAAAAAAGTACTCAGAAAAACAGACACTGGCTTATTGTGCCTCATTCAGAAAGCAGTCCCAGATGAAACACTGTTTATAACTTTAGTGTGAATTTTGAATGGGTGGATATACACTATATGGACAAAAGTATTGGGACAACTACACATCACACCTACAGGAGCTTTTATGATGTCCCATTCTAAATCAATAGGCATTAATATAGAGTTGGTCCCCCTTGGCAGCTGTAACAGCTTCCACTCTTCTGGGAAGCTTTCTACAAGATGTTGGAGAGTGTCTGTGGGAATTTTAGCCCATTCATCCAGAAGAGCATTGTGAGGTCAGACACTGATGTTGGACAAGAGGGTCTGACTTGCAATCTCCGTTCTAGTTCATGCCAAAGGCGTTCAGTGGGGTTGAGGTCAGGGCTCTAAGTCACCAAGCCATGCCTTTATGGAGCTTGCTTTGTGCACTCGGGGCTCAGTCATGCTGGAACAGAAAAGGTTCTTCCCAAACTGATCCCAGACAGTTGGAAGCATACAAATGTCTTCGTGCTGAAGCATTAAGATTTCCCTTCACTGGAACTAAGGGTTCTAGACCAACCCCTGAAAAACAACCCCATATCATCATCCCTCCTCCACCAAACTTTACAGCTGGCACAGTGCAGTCAGGCAGGTAACGTTCTCCTGGCATTCGTCAAACCCAGACTCGTCTATCAGACTGACAGACAGAAAAGCGTGATTGGTCACTCCACAGAATACATTTCCACTCCTCCAGAGTCCAGTGGCGGCGTGCTTTACGCCACTCCCCCTACGCTTGGCATTGTGCATTTTGATCTTAGGCTTGTGTGAAGCTGCTCGGCCATGGAAGCTCATTTTGTGAAGCTCCTAACATGCAGTTGTTTTGCTGATGTTGCTTCCAGAGACAATCTAGAACTCTTTAGTGAATGATTTAAGAAAGGATAGGCACTGTGCACTTCAGCACTCGGCGGCCCCACTCTGCGAGCTTGTGTGGTGTAAAGCTTCGTGGCTGAGCTGTTGTTGCTCCTGGGTGCTTCTATTTCACAATAATAGCACTTACAGTTGGCTGGGGCAGATCTAGCAGCACAGAAATTTCACAAACTGACATGTGCAGAGGTGGTATCCTATGATAGTGCCAAGTTTAAATGTTTAAAAGTGCCATGCCACTGAGCTCTTCAGTACAACCCTTTACTGCCAGTGTTTGTCTATCGAGACTGTAAGGCTATGTGGTTAGTTTCATCCAATTGATAGCAATGGGTGTGGCTGAAACACCTGAACTCAATAATTAGGAGGTCCCAATACTTTTGTTCAGATAGTGTACGTATGTGTTGGCTTTCATGACATCACAAAAAAAATGAATTCAAAATAGGCTGGTTTGCAGCTTAGTTTCTATCTATGGTCTGTATCGAATCACTAGTGGAAACTGCTTTTCTGCTGAATCACTACTAGTTTCTGAATCAGTTTCTGAAATGAATCATCCACAGTCCTTTCGCAATCTCAAGGTGACTGGTTCCTTAACCAGCTCTGTAAGACGAGCATCTGATTTCTCTGGATTTGCTTTACCTTGCACAATTCGCGCGATACTACAGTAAACACAGACTCAAGAGGTCTAGAGGTGACTCAGACACTATAAACTACATAAAGCTTATTATAAGTTTGTTGTTCATTCCCTGAAGACTGTTGCTTGGATACATCAGACACAGATCAGTGCTGTTGAACTGTACAGTTTACAGTGTAAACTGCCATCAGACTGCACACACTGTACTATTTCTAAATATACATAAGGTTCTGTTTCAGCTTCAACACCAAGACTCTCATCATTAATGTAGACTACGACTAGCAAACTTTGTCATTTTGTGAAATTAAGATAATCATCTGTTTCCACACAGAAGGCCTACCTGTAGGAATTAACTAATTTGCTACACTACAGTGCCAAAACAGTCTGAGCATTAATGTTAGCAATGTTTAATCCTATTACTACTTGTAGACCAGTAGATCTACCTGAAATGCCTCCAATGGATGAGATTCACTAATTTATGTGAAATTATATTGACCACTTACCTCTGAGTCCTACTGCTCTGTCCCTTGTCTTTCAAATATGATCCCTTGCTTCTCTCCTTCTCTCTTCTCTGTGGTGACTTTTCCTGTATTCCTGGTAATGAACAACCAAAGCCACACCTTTGCTTGTGCTCTCTCTGGCCTGTTAGGCTGTACACTTGACTTCTCAGCTGGGAGTAAACAGCAATATCACAAGTCATAAAATTAGTCATAAAATTAAGTTAATACTGATCATTAATTGAAGCTGGCCAAATGGTTCAGCCAGCAATAGAGGAAAAGTGTGATTTTTCCTGAGTCATTTAACAGCACATTGCTGGTTACTGATGTTAACCGCTTCAAGGCCTATTATTTAGTTATTAATCTTAAGACTTATTATCCAGTAACTTTTCTGAATGATTTAGTAACTACTGTTAAACTACTACTAAACTACCACAGTAACTACTAATAAACTAATGTAAGATACACATGTGAGGAATTCAAATGTGGACACACATACAGACCCATAGAGTTTAAAAGGCCTATATTATAGAAAAAAACATGTTTTTCTTTCTTTTTCTTGAATAAAAGGGTTTGATGAAGTATGTAAACATTGTTAAAGTTACTGTAATGTTCACTCCCTGGTTCAGACATATGTGGAAATTAAGCTGCTGTATGCCATTCTGTATTCATTATTTTTGTGATGTCACAACAACCGATGCAATTACATGCATCAACCTATTCAGGCCTGGACTAGACTTGATTGCTTTTTAAATGAGGCACATTACGGGGCAACCAATCAGAATATATCTCATTTACATATATTAGCCTCAAAGGCACAGTAATAAAAACAGACTGCTTTACTTTAAGACAGAGGTCGGCAACCCAATTGTTAAGAAGAGCCATTTTGTCTGTTCAGCAAAAATCTAACCACCTTGGGAGCCATAACATTTTATGTCCATTTTAGCATCTTGGCTGTAAATATGTCTCAGTGTGTGCTGATGTCCTAGTATAGACTAATAAAGTTAATATAAATGAAAATGCAGACTTACTTTGCTCTGCTTTAAGCTTTAGTTCAGCTATAGCCGCTTTTCTCGCATCTCTGGCAGGAAACTTTTCCTCAAAAGTAGAATAATTTCTTGTGAAATGTCTCTCAATGTTCGACTTTTTACGAGGCTGAAATCAGCTTCTCATTCGCCAGCTTCTCGTTTGAATTTTCCACCATTTAAGGTGAAACGGGAAAATTTGAACGAGAAGCTGGCGAATGAGAAGCTGATTTCACTTTTTAGTGCTTGACAGTTTCTTGTTGCAGATTAAACATATCAGGAAACCAGCTGGAGTGATTATAAATGCAAAGTCCATTCATCTCCAAATTATCGATGTTCGTCTTAAATCTTTCTTTTTGCCTTTTCGTTAGCTACTAGCTAGGCGAGATTGCTTTCTGCATTGTTAGGGTGACCAGCAGTCTGCATCTCCAGGGTTAAAGGTCGGTGAATTAGCAGTTATATATTAACTCCGGTTAATCTATTACTATAGACTATTTAGTGTTAAAACTGGGCTGAATGATCAGCAGAGCTTTATTTTATTACAAAACAGGATTATAAAATCTAATTCTGCTGTGGAGCCACAAAAGGGCAGTAAAAAAGCCGACCCCTGTTCTAAGAGATAAAAATATGTTGTAAATTGTATTAAAATGTATTATGACTGTTTTTGGGACATAAAACTAACATAAGTGGGACAAAATCAAATGTAGGATATATGTCCTTTAAAGGCCCAGTAACAAAAAGCGTGTGTGAAAGTTTGGAATATGGTCATGTAAAAATGAATTCTGATCCATTTTTGGTACATAAGACCACACCAACATTGTGAGCAGACTTCAGGGAAGGAAATAAAATACAAAATGAAGGATCTTAACCCTTTAGACTATGTCTGAAGTCTGAAGGTGCCAGACAGACACAACACATTCCTTTGTTTTGCATAACACTTTACCATTTAAAGCAGGTTAAAGTAATCAGCAGAAAACACCCTCAGTTTCGGTCCTCTGTATTCAGCATTGATCTGTATTGTTGACGTGTGGATGTTGTGTCTGACTCGGATGTTTTTGGATTCAGTTGATTTTTTTTACTCTATACTTCCCTGATCAGTGGAATAAGGAAATAAGTCTTCGTATATGAGGAACAATCATACTTTCTGATAAGACTTACAGTAAACTGTAAATGGTGATAAAGAGGCGGCTGTGGTAGCTCCATGCCCTGCATACCTGATTAAACAGTCTCTGAATGTGCTCCTGTTTAACTGCAGGCACCCAGGTGACTAGTGGTCACAGCTACTGGAGTCACGCCTACGTTCCCAGGGCCGTATTTTACCTCTGTCATTTTATAAACAGAGCCATAGAGCTGTTCAGTGCTATATAGTTGTTCCAATGTTGTCTCAATCAATCATATCACCTCACTGTGAAAATAAGAGCAACGTCCATACCTCTGATATGTTTACAAACATATTCTGATGTTATGTGTTACTAATGAGCATAAAGCCCTGGGAACAAAATGTCTTGGGATCATAGAACCCTGTAAATATTGAACAGTTGGAACATAGGACTTCAAGAATATAAAACCCTGGTTACATAGAACCCTGGGAATTTAGGCCCATGGGAGCAAAGAATCCTAGGAACATAGATCCTGGGAATATATGACCAGGGGAATAAAGACCCTGAGTATTTTGGTCTGTGGGAACATAGAACCCTGGGAATATACTACCTTGGGAATATAAAGCACTTGGAATATAGAACCCTGGGGATGTAGAACCTGGGAATATAGAGCACTATGAATACAGAGCACTGGGAATGTAGAACCCTAGGAATATAGAGCCCTAGGAATATAGGACCTTGTGAATATAAAGCACTGGGAATACAAAACCCTGGGTATATAGAAGCTGGGAATATAGAGCACTATGAATACAGAGCACTGGGAATATAGAACCCTAGGTATATAGAACCCTATGAATATAAAGCATTGGGAATATAGAGCTCTGAGAATATAGAGCACTGGGAATATACAACCCTAAGGATACAGAACTCCAGAGTATAAAGCAATGGTAATAAAGAGCACTGGAAATATAGAACCCTGGGGATACAAACCCCAGGGAAAATAGAACCATGGGATTATAGAACACTGGGAACATAGAATCGTGGGAATATAGAACACTGGGAACCAGAACACTGGGATACAGAACCCTGGGGATATAATAATGTACTTTACATAAAGAAAAGCAAAAGGAACATCAAAAGGAAAAATAAAGACAAAGTCCTTGAAAAGTAAAATAAAAGTAAAATAAAAGGTCTTAATTGTTATTCAAGTGAGCTTTAAAAACACCTTGGAAATATAGAGCACTGGGAATATAAAGCTTTGGTAATTTAGAACTTTCAGAATATTGGACCCTGGGGAATATTGCACCCTGGGAATACGGGGCCCTGGGAATTTTGGCCCTTTAATTCAATACAATCTGTATTACACAGACTTTATTTGCTCTGGTTGACTGTACTGTTGGATTCCTGTGCATATTGAATTGGAAGGCAAATACTAAGTGACAACAGTATGACACACTGTATTGTTACACTCCTATTATCCTTTGACCATAAAAGGCCACTGAAATGTTTGATGTTTTAGGAAAGATATGTTCAGTCAGGTGTGTCCAGACTTAACTGTAAAGCACTGTTTAACAGTATCAGTACATACACTGAATTGTGCGCATTAGATCACGACACAGTGAATAGAAAAGAGGCATTTCTATCGCAGTGGGTGACGTCATCAGTTTATGTCACATGACCTAGGATACCAAGGCTGGACAAAACAACTGAAATGTGGAAACTGTGTGAAGGGGTTGGGCTGTGAATATGCAAGTCATACGTCCTACGTACAACAATTTATGAGCACAAAAGAATTAAATCAGGAAGCAATAAAAGAAGCAACAGAACATCATGAACTGCTGGTTAATGATGACCTGCACACACAGTACAGTAGTAGCGTAAACAGCATCAGTCAGAACTTTGGACACACTGGATCAAATGTGTGCTATTATGATATTTTCTCATAACCTTAAAAGACATTTTCATCTACAAGGTTCTACCCTAACCAGAAAGTTACCATTACTATACCCCCTTACCCACAGAGACAGCACACATATTTATACATTATATATAACTTAGTCAGTTACTTTCCTTTGGAAATAATTTTTCAATCAGTTTTCTTCTTTTTTGAAATAAAAGAATTCGATGTAACGTGTAAACTCTATTAAAGTTTTAGAATCTGCCTGTTTTGAATTCATTGTTTTTGTGATGTCACAAAAACCAACGTTTACAAATTCAGCCTACAGCGGTTTAGCATACACACTGAAGCTACTTCAGCCTGGACTCATTCTTGATCCTAAGCAAATGAAGAATATAGAACCCTGGGAATATAGAACTGTGGGAATGTAGAACACTGGAAATGTAGAGTACTGGCAATACACAACCCTGGGGATATAGAGCCTTGAGATTATAGAACCATGGAAATACAGAGCACTTGAGAACATAGAACCCTGGGGATATAGAACACAGGGGTTATAGAACTCTGGGAAAATACAACCATGGGGATATAGAACCATGGGATCACAGAACTCTGGAAATATAGAACCATAAACTTATAGAGCACTGGGTATAGCACTGGGATTTTTGGTGTTTTTTTAATACATATTTGTACATATGAAAGACAACAAGTTTTGGCACCCCTGCTTTAAAGGCTTGAAATTTGCTTCAAACACATAATATAATAAACATAATATAATATAATGGGCAAAGCTGTACCAAGGCAAAGGGGGACTAGTTTGAAGAAACCAAAACAGAAGATAGGCTTGATTTCTTTGATGCTTTCTGCACTTAATTCTGCATAATTCCATATGTCATTTCATAGTCTTTCATTGCTATTCTATGTAGAAAGCAGTGAAAGTAAGAAAGGCCCTTCTATGAGTGACGTATTCAGACTTGACTGGACTGTATATTGCTCTGTTGTTGAGTAACGTTCATCAGGCATTGCCAAAATCATGCGTCGACAGCATGTTCTTTAACTCTCTGTACTTTATTTGCGGTTTGTTTTTTGTGGCTCTAAGGTTAATGAATATCATGGGTTTGGTTTCCTTAAAGTGTCATCACAGCACAAAGATCATGTTAAGATGCACTGTCCCTCTGAAGGCTTTGGAACTGTTAGGGTGATTTCAAGGCTGCTTTAAGGCCGAACAGGATTCAGGTTAGTAAAGAGGCCTTTTTAAAGCTTAAACCTTAGAATTTTATCTCCAAACAACGTAGAAACTGCATTCTGCTTTGTAATGTTGCTGTGGTTTGACATTGGAAGTTGTCTGTGCTTTTACTTCCTGTTAATATTTGACGACTTTGTGTGGCAAACGTGGGAAAACGGATGTGTGGATTTCATGTTGATGAGGACGGAATGTGCTGCACATGTGTAACAGAAGCAAATGTATAGGTGCACGTGGTATTTAACAGAATAGTTTAGAATGTTTTCACTCTTATGCCAAAAGTAGTTGATCAGCCAAAACATATTTGGTGTCTGAAGTTTGCTTCCTAATTTTGCACTGGAGCTACGAGGCTAAAACAGCTAACAAGCTTATAGCTGCTAGTCAGTTTTAGGCTAACTGCATGCCTATGTCATCATACATTTGCCTCGAATGTCAAGTACAGTAATATTAAAAAGACTTGCTTATGTGGTTTTTGACAAAGCCTACTTTGCACAGCTTGAAACATTAGTAATGCAACAGTATAAAAAAATTGCACTGATCTCTCCAACTATTGTCCTATTTCCAACACTCCTTTCTAAGATCTTGGAAAAAAAGCTGTTGCTCAACAGCTGTGTTCTTTTTTAAAAGTATAACAAGAATGAATGTTTTCATTATGGCCTTTAGAAGCATTACTGACATAGTCAGTGCTGGCTAGGGTGGTCAGTGATTTACTGGTTGTCTCAGATTGCGGAAAGGTCTCTCTTCTGGTGGAAGAGCTGGTTCTGCTGGATTTAGGTGCAGCTTTTGAAACAACTGACCATGACATTTTATTGGACAGGCTTAAACAAATATTGGTAGAGGCAGACAAGCTGCCTAGTTTAGGTTTTCTTTGTCAGATTGCGTCTGATTTGTCAATGTAAATGGGGAGTTTCCTGAATACAGGACAGTACAACATGGTGTCCCACAAGGCTCTGTTTTAGGGCCTGTACTGCTCTTTCTTTAGGTCACATAATCCATTAAAAGTGTTGCCTTTCACTTTTATGCTAATTGTACTCAGTTTATGTGTCAGTCTAACCAGATTCACTGACGCAGTTACACATTATAACATTGTGTTAAAGTCTGGATGAGCAGTAACTTAGCAGTAAATCCTAATGAAAAACAAGTACTGCAGGTCCTAAATCCGCTGGAATAAGGTTGCAGATCTTGTTCTTAGACCTTAATGGTTTCTTAGTTTAAGACCTTGGTGTTAAACTGGATGCTATCCCTACACAATACTGAGAATTTAGTTCAGGATCTTATAACCACTAGATAAGACTACTGTATCATGGCTACTGTTACTGGCTGGTTGTTTTGTTGTCTCTCTAGGCTCCAACTAGTTCAGCAGCCCATATTCCAACCAAGCAAAGACAGTTTCAAATTACTCTGGTCTTATTCAGTTTGGCCAAGCTCCAGCATATCTTACTGTCTGCTGAAGCATTATAACCCATTCAGATCACTTTGTTTATAGGAACTTTTACAGCTCAGTTACTGGAAGATCCTTTTCTTATAAATCTCCTAAACTCTGGAACAGCAATCCAAATAATATTGGGAAAGCAAGCTCAATTTTTTTGAAATCCAGATTAAAAACATCATAGTATGCAAACGTTTTGGCACCCCTGCTCAAATGAAATGTTTTATTGGTATCTATCTACAGGGAATACACTTCTGCACACTTTAATGCACAATTATTGTATATTTGCTGAATAACATATTGACCAAATAAATGTTGTTTTTTTCCAATGTTACCCAGAAAATAAAAATTGTGTGGTATAATTTGCAGAAAAAAATGTCATATTTAAATTTGTTCCCTGTAGACAATGTGTATTTGTTTTACCTTAGAAAATCAGCAATACATGTAACACTGGGGATGTTTAAACTCTTGCAGAGAGACTGTATTTAGACTATTCAGTAGGCTAGAATATTCCTATAAATATTGTGATTCATTTTCTGTTGTTTTAATATGCTATTTCTTTTAGAGTTTACTTATTATTACCATCAGACATGTCTTGGCTGCTTAATAATTTCTAGCCTTTTACCCCCTCACATAATCTCAAGAGCTGCATAAAGAATACTTTCCATATCTAAAGTAAAAACTTTAGATTGCCACATTAATGCACTTTTCCTGCGACGCTTTATTTGTATTGCTGCTAACAAGTGATTCCAGTGAACAATGAAACCAAGTCACAGAGGAATGGCGCCCTCTAGTGATAAAAGCAGAAAACAGAAATATTAATGCTCTGCCCTTCAGTGGATTCTGGAAACTGTCTTGTACATGTTTATTTGAGATGTTTCTCATTAATTATATGCTTTGTATCTTTAAATACAGGAAACACTTTGAAAACAATCTCCTTTTATTGCATCTCCAGAACTATTGTTTTTTGTTTTCATTGACATTTTGAGAAGTCCTAAACTTAATGCAACAATTAAGCCCATGAGAACACATCTCACATCTTAAATAAACATAAATAATTTTCCTTGACAAACATTTAAAATGTCCAATGAGTCCCATAATTTCCTAATGCTGAAGGAGGAGTGATCTACTTTGGAGTGACCATGACAGAAACCACACCAAGTCAGAAATAAGGCCGCGAATCTTGATATCTGTCTGGATAATACTCCGTTCCGTTAATATGTAATGTATTCTCCTACACTTTGACCTAACAGAGAGCTTGAATGAAGGTGAAAAGTCTAATATTTCTGGATGAGAATAGAAGAGGCTCCTCCTCCTCCGTTGCAGATGCCTGCCAGGCCGTACTGACCAGACTTCAGGTTGTGCACCATGTGCCCAACGATCCTCGCCCCAGACATTCTGTAAAATAAATGTAAAATTCAGATTTAACGATTATGGGTGTGCATTGCAAAGCAACTACATTGTTCTTCGTTTTATATTCTTCTTTTTCTCTTTGTGGAATTTTTTCCCCTTAGGAATGAATGGAGTGCAAAAGTTTTGGCACCTTTCGTGTCATGATGGTACAAATACACTAACACACACACACACTCAACACACCACACAAACGCGTGCACACACACACTTAAGGTAGCAGGAGATTTTAGGTAGCATTGTATTTAAGGTGGCACTGGATTTAAGGTAGCAGGAGATTTAAGGTGGTGGGAACCATTTAAGCTGTGCAACCATTCTCCTTCAGGAAACGCATTTTTTTCATTATCATGATCATCATCATCTCTAATGTTTTCCAACCTAATAGCAGTTGACATGGCGCTAGCATAATACCAGGAGGGATTAAGAATCATGGGCTTTAGCCGAAATGGATAACGACTCTAGGGGGACGTTTTAATCTGTGACATAGGTCACAACACACTTGATACGGAATCACAGATGTAGGTGTAAGTCAGCCCCGTCTTAGCCGATCTTATTTTTCTAATGACGTTTTGGTAGTACTGTTCCTGGGTGCATGGAAGTCCAACATACTCGGGTTCTAGTCAGTTATTAACAGTAAGCAAAACAATGTGGACCTAAATTTTATGCATTATTTTCCAAATAGCAGCCAATACATTTCAATACATTACAATAATTTCCATGCATTTCCCTGTACTGAAGAGAACAAAACCTGTTAAGATGAAACCCACTTATAACAAAAGCTAAAGGAAAATCGTTTATGTATTTTCATCCGTCACTTCACCTTAGAGAAAGTGGAAGCAACCAGATTTTTTTTTTTAAACTGTATTGCTGTATCAAATTTGAGAAGACTTGATAAGAACAGCTTTGGTCAGACAGCCTCTCAGATCTGTACTTTTAACACAGGTCCTGTTAGAGTGTAACGGCTGTACTGAATCTGCGTACAGTTATGCATTTCAAATATTAATTCACAGAATTCTGCTGCCTCCCACTGGCTTCTGAGTACATTTTGGCCATTTTTCCACTGCACAAATTACTGAAACCTGTAAACCTGGAACTGTGATCTTTCCGCTTTGGTCACTGGGTCAGTACTGAAGGTTCCAGATTTATCTACTTGAAGGTGTTCTTCTCTGTCTTTGACAACAATCGCAGCTGAAGCCAATGACTATGTTGTGTTATGTTGAGTTGAGTGCTATTTTTAGAATTAATACTTTGTGAAGAGTTCACTAAGGAGACATAAGCTAGTTAGGAAGCTAAAGCTATTAGCATTTATACTAGTCCTTGAACAAGAGTTTGCTCACATTTTCAACACAGAAAAAAACTGGGAGCTTTGCTTGATTCTCCTCATAATTCTATATAGACATTTTCGCGAGTTTGAGTGCCGATCAGCATATATCGTTTCACATCAGCAATAAGTTAAGCTAACTGTAAGTAGAAGGCAAGGTAGCTTCTAATTACCTGAATTAGACACTTCAGAGTGACATAAAATTACCAAGAAGACAATTACAACCATTTAACATGGTTATTATGATGAATACAGCTGTATGTCATGTAGAACTGCAACCGTAGGTTCCCAATCGAGTTAGTTCTATTTTTTTTCCTTTCTTCAAATGCTCTCATTTCGAAGTACAGAAACATGTCAAAATGACTGTCCCTGGTAACTGATCATACAATTCAAACCAGACAGGTAGAGATGAAGTTGAAAAGTGTTGTAAAACTCCTTTAAGAAAGCTGCTTTGTAATGAAACCACATTAGCAACAGCTGATTACCCAATAGGGTGTCCGAGGGACACTGCTCCTCCGTTGATATTAACTTTGCTTGGGTCGATGTCCAGCATCTTAATATTGGCCAGGACCACCACGCTGAAGGCCTCGTTTATTTCCCACATGGCAATATCATCCTTCTTAACACTGGCAGCCTCAAGTACCTACACAAGGTACAAGACTTAGCATAGAGACGACTGAACAAGTTCACAAAACCGTAGACACCTTATCTCGACAAACAGAACAAATGACCATAAGCTCACCTTGGGGACCGCATATGCCGGAGCGATGGGGAAATCAATGGGGGCAACAGCAGCATCAGCAAAAGCTAAAAATGAAGACAAGGACAACAACTGAATTAGCTCTAATAAGGAAACACAGGCCAGCCAGCAGAGTGGCCATTACAGAGATAATGAGATTAGTAAAACTACTAGATTGGCAATACAGTCAGGTCTGTAAATATTCACATGTCGACACAGTCATTGTTACTTTAGCTGTCCACCACAGCATACTGGAGTTTAATATTTACATAATGAATATGAGCTCAAAGTGCAGTCGCCCAGCTTATTTACAGAGTCCAGGGTATTTGCAAATCACTGACTGCACATTGCAAATCAGGTGAATGGTGAAGGGATTCCAACCATTTTCTATATATAGCCCCCTGATTTTAGGCTCCCAAAATAATCAGACAACTGACTTCTCAGGTGCTCCATGGCCAAGGAAGCAGATAAAAGTTCTAGAGCTGACTTGAAGTGTGGAATTTGCATTTGGAACCTGTTGCTATTAACTCTCAATATGAAATTCTTTATTCACACAGAGCTTCACTGCCATCAAGAGGCTGAAAAATCAAAGTAAACCCACCAGAGAGACAGGGAAAACATGGAGCTATCAACTATTTGATACATTCTTAAAAAGAAAGAACACATTGGTGAGCTCAAAAACACCAAAAGACCCAGAAGAACCATAAGGAGGCAAGCGTAAACAAAAAGGTTAAGAAAATAATAATTAGATATAAACATATTATCTATAAAATAAACACCAACATCTTATGTACAGATGAGACAAAGACACACTTGTCTCAGATGATTGGGAAGAATATGGAGAAAAGAAAAAACTGCTCAAGATCCAAAGCACACCACATCATCTGTGAAGCATGGTGGAGGTAGTGTTATGGCGTGGACATATATGATGACAGCCAATGAAAACGGTGTCCTTGTATTTGTTGATGATGTGACTGTTGACAAAAGCAGCAGGATGGATTCTGAAATGTATTTGCCTAGTTTCAGCCATATGCCTCACAATGCAGATGATCCAAAGCACACTGCGAAAGCAACCCAAGACTTTTCAAGGCAAATAAGTGGAATATTCTGCAATAGCCACATCACTCATCTGATCTCAATCCAATCAAGTATGCATTTCACTTAATGAGGACAAAACTGAAGTTGAAACAGCCCAAGAACAAGTAGGAACTGGGGGGGAGGGGTGTCCTGGGGGGACTATGTGTGAAAATATTGCAAATTTATATACCATTCACCCCATTTGGATGGAAATACCCTCAAATTAGAGCTCTGCATTTCAAATTCATATTCATTAGTTAATTGTAACTCCATTATGCTGTATTAGACAATAACATCCAATAAATAACAGTACCTTTGTCAACATCCAAATATTTCAGGACCTGGCTGTAGTCAGGTTAGATTAAAAACGAGCCATTACATCAAGCAGCTCAGTTTGAAGTGCTCAAAACTGCTCTTACCAACAATTCTTGCAAGCGGAGTAACATTGAGTCTTTTGGCTGCATCTGCAGTCATCAGGACAACTGCAGCAGCGCCATCGTTCAGCGTGCTGGCGTTAGCTGCTGTCACTGTGCCTGCAGGCCAAAATTAAAGAAAAAAAAAAATTAAAATAACAGTCAGCCTGCTATTTCACCCAAAAATTTAAAGAAATAAAGTCTAAGAACATGGTTCATACCGTTCTCCTTCTGGAACACAGCCCTCAGTTTGGGCACCTTGCTAAAATCAACCTTTCTCCATTCTTCATCCTCCTTAACCACAACATCTGGCTTGCCTAGATGGAGAAAAATGAATGTTGCACATATCAAAGCACTGCAACAGTTGAGTATGAAGAAAACAAGAGTCTTTAATGCTTATCACTGTCCAAAAGAAAATAATAATAATAAAATAAATAAAAAGAAAAACCTTCATTACTTTTTATATAAGTCAATGTGATCACATTTTCCCATTTTGACATGATCTAAAGGACAGCTGCTGCTCAAATGACGCTAACAAATAAAAGTTGAAAAAAAAGGACAGGACAGCTACGATACAGTGCATGAGAAAAGATCTCAGCCACTCTTGTTTGACTAAGACTCTGTATGCTGATCAAATGAATTTGTTCTTTTATTAAATGTAGTTATTTATTTATAGTGAATTATAGTTAAAACTGAAGACACTGTTGCAAATGTAACATTGGAAAATGTAACTGCTGAGTCTTTGTACAATTTAAAGCACTGTTTTACTGAACATCTCTATTTCAGTCAACACTCGTGTAGAAAAAAAATCCTCTGTGTGGGAGCAAATCTGTGAAGATAATTTGAGGGTGGAATGAAAACTCTCCAGACAAAGTTTAGCTTACAGTATAATTTGAAATATGATGCATCACAAAAAACCCTAACTGTGCAAGATATTGTCTTTCAACTGTAGCCATGCATGAAAAATGTAAGGAACAAACTAGTTTTTAGTTTTCTATAGCCTTATTTTTATGTCTTATTTAATAAGTCAAAAACAACGTGTCAAAAATGAGGCCTTTTAGGGCACTTAAGGAAACAGAATTACCTTCTGACTTCTGTATGCCTTGCAGCCTAAGCAGTTAAACTGACCTTTCTGTGGGATGCTCACTGGAACCACCTCTTTGGCCAGGATTCCTGACTCCCATGCTGCTTTACTGCGTGTATATGAGCTGATGGCATATGCGTCCTGCTCCTCTCTAGAAATGCCGCTATTCTTCGCTGTGTTTTCTGCACAGTTTCCCTACAAATTAAGCATTTAATGGCAAAGAGGAACATGCAGCGTGTTGTAGGGCAAAACAGAAAACTGATTTACCGCTATTTTTATCATCATTACCTATAAAATCTGAGCGCACTGGTGGTTTTGGATAGTAAATAAAATGGCAATATTTGTGCAGACATTGTGACCCGTGGTTCCTATCACCACCACTGTAAATAAACTGAAGTAAGTTTCACTACAATGAACCATTTCACATCTCAACCAGCGAATTATACAGAAACTCTGAAAAATCACTGTTAAACCAGAAGATAAACTATGGAGTTAAATGCCATATTGGGGGTGGTTCATGCCTCACGGTGTGTGCTTGGCCATGTGCCACTTCAAATCAATTGACAAACACACAGTGCAGGTGAATGCCCTCTTCAAAGAACCTGCCTCTTATGAAAATGTGCCAAAAGTCAGAAGCTGAAGAAAGAAATATATATATATTTTTTAAGTAAGTTCGATTTAACTCATTATTTGTATTATTTGCAACATATTTTTGGCATTTTGATATGTAATACTTTTCTTTGTGGGTGTGCAGTTTTATTTAAAACTTTTGCCACAAAATGAATATAAAACTATATGCACAAAAGGTCCAATAACGAAGTTGTTGGAAGCAGAAAGATCTAACACCATGCGAAAACTGGCGCATCACCTTGTGAAATTGGAGCACAGTTAACAGATAACATTCAAAATGTTGCTTTATAAGCCAAAGATCCAAAATCCCTTAATTTGCTCTGAAGGACTACAGCCAAATACTACATGGAATTTGTTTTCCAAGGTCTGAAACCATGCAAGATTTGTTTTCAAATACAAAGGTCCAAAACCATTTTAAATTTGTTTTACAGTGCAAAGGTCCAATACCATGTGGAATTTGTTGTACACGTCTGTCAGGCCATCCTTCACGATGAGATCCTCCATTCTCACTCCTCCGTACGGGGGCGGCTCTCTGGCCATCACGTATGGAACTTGGGACATGCTCTCCATTCCACCAGCCACCATCACATCCTACAAAGCATCACATTTTCACATCTCAATTCTTATTCTTATTCATCTCACATCTTATTCAGTAACACTTTATTTGGAGTGGTCCTTTGTAGATGATTAATAAACTCTTAACAGATTATCAGTAACACATTAGCAACATATCAGTAAAGTAGCAGTAGTGAAGCATCTGAATACACTGAAGTAAATATCTTGATGTTCTGCTGATACATTACTTACATTAAGTAGATGTATCGTTAATGTTTTACTTCCATTACACAACACCTAACCCTCACCCTGGCCCTAATCCTAACCCTAACCTTAACCTCAACCCAAAACCTAATCCTAACCCTCATATGTTTGACATGTTGCTGAGTGAGTGAGTCCACTGAGCGTTTGTTTCATCTAAAAGGACCACTTGAAATAAAGTGTCACCACTTATTCTATCAAATATTAATATGTTATCATGTTATCAGCCAGACTTATTTATAGCACATGAAGGCTTTGTTACCTGGTGACCGCACATCAAACTCTGGGCAGCCAACATGATGGACTTCATGCCGGAGGCACACACTTTGTTAATCGTTGTAGCTGGAGTACAGAGTGGCAGGCCTGCAAAACGAAACGTATATAATTACAAGCGGCATCAGCGCATCATAAAAAGTTTTGCACATTCCGTTAAGGTTTACCTCAACCTTTCCATTAGAATAGATTCTACCACAATAATGTTTCATGGTATAATCACTAGAGAGTAGTTTGACCATGAAGTTTATCCCTGATCTTATCAAGATGGGGCTCTTTGCTTTGTTTGCAGCATGTTGTGTCAGCATACCGGCGCCTAGAAGAGCTTGTCGGGTTGGCGCCTGTCCTTCACCTGCCTGCAGCACGTTGCCCATGTACACCTCCTTCACCTCCTCCAGAGGAATTCCTACAGCAGGCAGAGAAGTCCAATCCATTCATCACTCAAACTCTGAACAAATAATGTGCAACATCTGTCCACATAATACAAAATGAATCATTCCACTTAGCGTGAGCAGCGCTTTCTGAGTAGACTCACTCAGACAGGCTTCAGGGTGGGCCAGTCTTTACCTGCTTGATCGATCGCTCCTTTGATGGCGATGGAGCCCAGTTTGGTTGCAGGGACTGATGAGAGGCTCCCTTTGAATGAACCCACAGGGGTCCGAGCTGCACTGACGATGACGACTTCCTATTGGGGTACAGAGAAGAGGAGCACTGAACACTCCTCCTTATCAGGTCATCATCATGTTATATAGGGATACATTGATAAAGAGTTTTTTTTAATTGATGATTTAGTTGTTTTTAACCTGAAGCTGGCATTGTGTGGGCAAAACGAACACATGAAACACACTAGCACATTTCCAGTACTTTCTATTAGCCAGCTGTAGTATAAATTAAGATTATTTGGGATCTGGCATTTTTAAGTTCCTAAATGAAAAATGAGTTGAAATAACATGAATAAACAAATAAAGTGCTTTGTTGAAAGGGAGGAGACTGGCCATTCAGCACAATGAGTCACACATAATTATAACTTTTTGGCATAAGCGTAGAAACAAAATTCAAATACAGCACTGAAGCATTTAGTTGCTAATTTACCTCATAAAATTGCAGCAGTGTGGCCAAAAAAAAACAAAATAATAAATTGGCTTATTGGCCAAACATGCGTTCCTAATATTATCCAAAAGCATCATGACGTAAAATCATATGAGTCTATAGTAATGAAAATGAATGAGCTCATGTTTTCTCCAGGCTAAAAGCAAAACAGGATATCATGATACTTAAAGATATTCTCACAATATATTTTGCAATATTTTGTACATGCTGAATAACAACATTGTAAGGAATACTTAAATATTGTTTTCAGGTGTGATTTTTGGCAAGAATAGTTTTTCCAAGTTTAAATGCTCTACTAAGGTGGGTTTTCTGAATTTCTCACAGAGAAAGAGAGGAAAAATACGCAATACATGCAATGGCTGAAATCATGGGACAGCCGATGTTGGAGGACATGAGCTGTTTATTTAAATGTTACTATTTACTTAATATTTTTTTTTTTCTAAATTGAACAAATGCTATATGTTTTAGGTAACGGTCAGGTCTTGAATGCCATGAGTGGAGAAAAAAAAAAAAAACACCTGCCAACTGGGACACCACTGTTTGGTAAGTATTAAATATCTACAGAAGGGCGATACGGCAAAAATATTTTATCATGATACCTCAGAACACTGACGATGCACAATATGCATCAAGATATACAGTTTTTTTTTCAACAATTCATAACATGCAAAATAGAACCTGTGGTGCCACATATATTATATTATTATAATATAATAATAATAATAATACTACAATTTCACTGATTTTTATTCAATGTTTTACAAACTGCATTACATTAAAACCAATTAAACAAACCTATTTATGCTTACTTTACAGTGTTCTTTAAGTATTGACGATATCAGTACGCTCAGAGAAACATGTTGTGACAAAAATGATCACAATAACGATAAAATATCATAATTCCTACCCCTCATTATATCATGGATATAATGCTGACAACAACAACAACAACAACAACAACAACAACAACAACAACAATAATAATAAAACCATTGCCAAAACTGAAAAGCAATGTCACAGTGCGCCAATATCACGGTATACACAAAACATTATCCAACACCTCTTTCGTATTATAACAGAAGACACAAGACTTCTGTTGATGCTAAACACCTGCTTGTTTTCATGGACACATATACGCTCACTGTCACTGCTGATCCAAGAAACTTCCCAAAGATATTAACGATGAAAAACAAGAGCATTCGGTTTCATTTTAAAGGGGAAATCCACAGATTTCTCAAAATTTGAAGACTCAGAAACTTGTAGACTCAGAAACTTGTAGACTCAGATTTCTTTACGAAGGTGGTGATACCAACCAGACATCCACCTCTATAAGCTCCCTCACAGAAAGTTATTACATGAAATGGTTATGAGTACTGATGCACGAGACACTGTTTTACAGCAGTTTAGGACTAACATATATTTTAATCAATTTATTTTAATCTATTCATGGTGGAGGGGTACATGAAGGGTGTTTTAAGGCAAAACAGCCCCCAAAGAAAACTCTTGTTTCCCTTTAAATTTACCACCATTTTATCATCAAAATTACATATAAAAACTCAGACTGCACGTGTAGGTTCAGGGATGGTTTTGGATGGTAAATAAAGTGGCTATATTTGTGTTGTAGACATCATGATGTCTGGTTCCTATCACCACCACTGTAAGAAATCAAAGTCTACAAGTTTTTCCTACAATGAATCATTTCACACCAAACCACTCTGAATTACTTTGTTTACATCTCTGTTTGATTGAATTACGCACATATTTCGAGAAATCGGTGAAATTCCCCTTTAATGCACAATGTCACTCACATTTAGAGATGGACGGGAGGCGAAAGACCTGCACAGCAACTTGTGTGTCTGTAAAGAAGACGACAATAACATGTTAAAAGTTTGTTTACTTGCACTTTTAAGCAGTCAGAGAAGAAAATTTCGGTGTGTGCTGCTGACAAGCCGTACAAAAAGTCACTCACAAAACCTGAAATTCATAGTTTTTTTAGCTAACGAAGCCAAAGTCAGCTTCACGTTCGCCAGCTTCTTGCTGGAATTTCCCGGTCCACCTTAAATGGTGCAGCAGCTACGTTCTGGCGCCTGAGGCCTCAGCGGCCAGAATGCAACTGCTGCACCATTTAAGGTGGAACGGGAAAATTCGAACAAGACGTTAGCGAACAGGAAGCCAATTTCAGCCTCATTAGTGTTTAAAGTCTGCTGGTGACTGAATGAAACAGGCCTGCAGCACCTGCAGCTAAGATTAGCTCTCACAGCTAGCGACCTACATTATAAACGCACACGTTCTCTCACTAAACTGGCATGTTGTATCGACTTGAAGGGGACTAAAGCAAAGTTCGCGCGTCCAGCCCGAGGCCTCTTTCGATTTTTGACCTTACTTACCAGCTGTCTGCCCAGCTGAGAGGTTAGAAGTGCTGTGGACGACATACTGCTAAACTACACAAGGACGAACCTGACCGACGCTTTTAAAGGAGCACCCAATCACATTGAGAGGTGTGTGCGCGTTACGTCAAGCCCGCGCAAAAGGTTTATGGGTATTGTAGTTCACGGCGCTTTGGCTCATTCGCAGTGTTTAATGGTGAATTCCAGCGTTATTTTTTATGTCTGCATGATTCAGTGGTGGAGGTGTAAACCCGAGTCGTTCAGAGTGTTTTGGTGTGAAATGGTTTATTGTAACTGCAGTTGATAAATACCTTCATTCAGAAACGCTTCTTCAAGAGGCCCGTAATGACCGATGGGTAAACTTTCCTGCAAAGTGATAAACTGTTGTTCATTACTCCCAGTGCAGTTGGAAGTTCCCTTCCAGCGGAGCTTTTTCACTCTCAGTGGTTTGGAATCACTCTTAAAATGTCTAAATACCCCGTGCAGTACATTTTGAAGGGAACTATGAGGGCAATTGGTGGTGATAGGATTTCTTTACAGTGGTGGGGATAGGGGTCTTGATGTCTACAACACAAATACAGGTATTTTAGTTACTATCCAAAACCACCCTACGCATCTGTCTATCTATCTATCTATCTATCTATCTATCTGTCTGTCTGTCTGTCTATCTATCTATCTATCTATCTATCTATCTATCTATCTATCTGTCTATCTCTGGTTCATTACTATAAATTGTTTTCAATCTGCTCTGTGTATGTTAAGCTTTGGAAAACTAAGGTTTGTTAACATTATGTCTGTGTGCCTCATCTCAGGTCTCATATTCTGGAATTATTTGCATCCTTTGATTCTGATGAATGATAATAAATAAATACTGGCAGAAGCAGCTATTTAAACAGCTGCTAGCTAGCTAGCATGGCAGTTTACAGAAACGTTACCACTGAGGAATCACTTTGTTTGATCTCTTTTTCAATCGCCCAATAAACCATCTTTTGTCCATTGACCCTGTGTAATTAATGATTTGAAACAATGTTGTTTGATATGATCACATGATGTGTTTCTGGCGTTTTGATTGGCTGCTTAGTGAAAGCTGTCTCACGAATCTAAGTTGCTTGCAACTGTTGCGTTTGAGTTTCAAATGAGTAGCAGGGCACATTACACAACTCAAATGGAATTTAGTTTCATTTAAGTTTCAAGCACCTAACAAAGCAAATAAATAAATAATTAATTAATGTTTTGACATCAGACATTAGACATGAACAGTTCAAATCAACTTTGCTTTATTATTATTATAATTTACTTGCAAGAAAAGGCAGTAGAAAAATAGACATTAGATGCTTTAAGGTTGCAAAAATGCTAACAATAACAAAAGAATAACAGTTATTATATTAATACTGGGCATACTGACAGGTGGACTAATATATGATAAAGCACAGCTGTTCGGTTCAGTCAGGGATGCAGGAAGTGGGGGTGCTGAGGGTGCAGCTCCAGATTTCAGGACTGAGACTGCTTGAAAAAAATAATAATAAAAACAATAAAAAGTTTTGAACTTCATAACAATTTAAGCATATTATTGCATTTGTATATTGTATGTATATATTTTTTAAACCTTAAGTGGTCAGTTAGTCAGTTGGGCATATTGCTAAAACACATGTAGGTAAAGGTGCAAAGAGGGTCTATACAGGGTTCTTGGCCAGTTCTGAGCCCCAAAGCAGCCCATTATTACATTGAATATACTGTTTTCAAACTTTTTTCAACTCTATTATCTCCAGCTCGATGTGCCTTCAAGTGTTAAATTGCACAGTGTGACTGTGGGTACAAAATCAAATGACAAAAAGGCAAATCGTTTTGCATGACGTCACGTATATGGTGCTGAAAATTTCAGCACCCCAACTTAAAACACCTTCCCGCATCCCTGACTTCAGTACTGTTTATATGAAAATTGCACGTTTAACTTTGGAAAAAGTCTGCTTAGTAGCAGTTCAGCCATCCGTAATTCAGAAGAACACGCCTCGGCATTCTTGCTTTGTAGTCATACTCGGTTTGCCGAGCACCATCAGAAAAGTACAGGTAGCCTGAAAAGAGAAAAAAAAGACATAACAGATTATCAGTAACAAAGCTGAGTGTGATACTGTAATCAGAAATGTTTAGTTTTATGAGCTGATGTTCATGTACCATAATTTTCAAAAGCAGCATCCACTCTGGAGCCAATGCCAGGGAAATCTTGGCGAATCGATTTAGGGAAACCATTGTCCATTTTTCCAGTCCTTTCATTGAAGCTAAACAACAAAAATATGTTTATGTTTAGAATTGTATAGTGTTTTACACAGTAGTGTCTTTTATAGTGTTATGTTGTTTTATAGTATACTGTTATAGTATTGTTGTTATTGCTTTGGTCATTACTTACCTCCAGTAATTACTGCCAACAAAGAACAGAGTCCGACCCGTCGATTCCACATAGACTGCAGCGTCAATCTTAGTGACCGATGAAGGAAAGCCAAACTGCGAGATGGGCTTCGGGTAGCCGGCAATGAGACGGCCCCTTTCACCCCCCAGTACCGCTGACCTGCACAGACAGACACAAATATGTCAAGAATTTCCATCCTGTGAAAAACGTAAAACTGTCTCAGTGAATATGAGAGTGATAAATAGAGAAGTCATACCTTTGAAAAAGTAGCTGATGCCTTTGAGTTTGAGCTCATAAGCTGCATCAACAGAATTAATTGCGGGCCACGTGGATTTTATTCTAATCTGCTGGATACTCCTGCTGCCAGTTTTCTTCCAGTAATACCTTACAGCAAGGAAAGATAAACCGTAGTCAAATTTAATTGAATATTCTTTAGGAATATATTTCTTACACCTGGGAAATATAGTATTTTGGTCTTTGTGTCTGTGAGGCCTGTGACATGTTCCTCAAATAGGATGCTGTGACATAGGGGCTTGTTTATGCCCCTCTCCAGTATATCCTACCAGACACGGCAATGACCTGCACTGTAAACTTAGTTGATTTTACTTTTAAAAAAAATCATGTAAACTTGTTGCCTCGAAAAAAGTAGGTGAAGCTACTTAACCCTCTATTGCATGGTGTTGCCATAGGGCAACAATTAATTTATCTCAATTTTACTTAAAAGCAGCAGTATAAAATCTGTGTTTTCCTATGTTATTGTGGAAAAATGCTCTTTTATTTTTAAAAACTAAATAATTTATGACATCACATGACCAGGAATTCTTATTATGATGTTGTTATTACTACACGTTCCAAATACCAATTGAAATTGTATTCATTTCCAATATTTGTTAATATTGGGTTGTACATTTCACTAAGTATATGTTGGATTTGTTTGGTCTTGTTTTCAATAAATGTATGTTTTTAGAGAAAAATTAGATTTTATGGTGCTTTTTGTAGATTTTATGGTGCAACAATATGCAATATCATATGGCAACAATTTACCAAATACCCCATTTTAACAAAAATATATATATATATTTTTTTTTCAAATATTTCCATTATTTAAGCAATTTTAAATTTTAATTTTTTTATCAGGTTTAAGTAATAATTAATGCATTAGAGAGTTAACAGGTTTAAGCTTCAATAATTCTGTAGTTATATAAAGTGTTATAGTGTTTTATATATATATATATATATATATATATATATATCGCTGCTGTTGGACCAAAACCTTGTATCTCCAATTTTGCTGTTTTTCAGTTTTTGAGATAATTTGAAAATATCCGTTGTCCTTTCCATCGTGTGAACATTTAAAGATGAATGGACCTAAAGAAACAGCCCTAAATTACTTGGAAAAATGTCTGGTTACATTGACTTACATTAAAAGTAAAGTATGTTTTTTCCTTCACCTGTAAAGTTACCATTTTGGAGATACGAGGTTTTGTTCAGACAGTAATGTGAATCACTCTCCTACTGTACTGTATTGGCGTCAAATAAAACAACTTTATTGTATTAAATGGACTGTTTTGTGTAGCAATGAATAAATAGCTTAGATAAGACTAGAATCATGCATGTCTGAGGACTCTAATGGCTTGATGCATATTTGCCATTCTGTTAGCATTCACAGCTCCAGGCTGAGCTGGTAAGCCCATCATGGTGAGAATAACAACCACATGTCAAATGCATCCAAACTTCACATTCAGCATGAGAGTATGCTACGACACATAGCACTTAGCATAGAGAATTATATTTATAAATTAGAAAAATGAAGGTTAATGAACAGAAACCAACAAAATGGTTAAGTATACTGTAGTGTTTTGGGCAAAAGACTCAGATTTACCTCATTAACCCAGGACTATACTAGACATAATATATTCACTAGATTTGTACTAATAATATTAACAAATTAGTAAAGTAAGCCCTTAAAAATTAAGTTAGTTAGTGGGATCCACCTCCCCGCCTGCAGAGGTCGCTCTCACCTCAGTTCTGGTCTGCACACTGCACACCTGAATGTTGTTTTGCAATCTGTTGCCCTATTCATAGCCTGTGTGTTCCCTATCTATTCACCTTGAACTTTTGTAATGCGAATTCCTCATTGTGGCAAATTCCACTGAAGTGAATGTAATTGCACTTGCACAATTTTGCTAGCAAACACCAACGTAACTCTGCCTACGGGGAAATAATTAAATCATTTAATCATTTGGAACATTGATATAGTTTCAGGATGACTGGATCTGGTGGTGGCACAGCACGCGATGTTGTACAACCTCAAATTCAGCACCTCCGGCTCATTTTTGAATGAAAACAGCACGGACCAGTACATTAACTTCCATTAAAAATGAGGAAGGATATATATAGTACTATGCCAAGATTGATAGTCCAGACAAATTGTGTTTTGTTTATTTTCTTTGTGAAAATAAGTTAATGCATTCTCCACTGTGAACAAACCTAAATATGGCATTTTTCTTCAATTTCACTATTTCTGTTTATTTGTTGGGTTTAACATATTTGGGGAAAAAACATAAAATGAAATATTCTGTAACTTTTTGGCCTCACTTTCTGTTTCTGTATGTTCTCCCAATAAGTCAAATTCAACAAAACGTATGCATTTTGACTAGTTTTTTTATATTAATAATCATATAAGCAGTTAACAGTACATCATTGTGCATATTAATTGCACAATGCTTGTCTGTGTATAAAACATATATATATATATATATATATATATATATTTTTATGTTTTTATATATATATATATAAAAACTTTAAAAATTGTCTTACTCATTTTTGAAGAAATACAGCTCTCCTCTTATGCTGGTTGCAGCATCAAACACTAAATCCCGCTTGCACGGCTCTGGTGGATTTGGTCCAGGTTCTGGTTTTGGCTGTGGTTTAGGCTCAGGTTTGGGCTCAGGTTTGGGCTGAGGATATGGAGATTCACGAACACCTGGCAGATTATTCAAACAGACATTGAGTTTACTGTGCAGACGGTCTCCTTCACTGACACTGACTGGTGTCTCTACCATAATTTTTTAATCCAGGATGATTTATGAGTACCATATAGAGCCTGGACTCCGCGCTTGTCATCCAATGGTAGCTTGTATCCATTTGTATTCACGTACTGGTAAGTGGGGTACATGAGAGCAGAGGGGTCTCGCGAGTGATCCAATCCAAGAGCATGGCCAAACTCATGAGCGGCCACCAAAAGCAAGTTCACACCTAAAGCAGATTGTGTTTCAATGTGTTGTCAATATAAATCACAACTATGTCTGGATAAATGGCTGCTATAAGCCCAGTGAGTGGCTGTACCTGCTGCGCTCAGGGTCCAGCGCTCATCCTCATCGAAGTGAGTATCGCCTCCTTCATCTGGGCCTGGGGACATGGCATGGGCAAGAACCCCACTGGGTCCATCGAATGGGTAAAAATCTCCATGATCTGGACAAAAGAAGACAATGAAAGCAGCTCAGTCACACTGGGAAATGGCAACTTAACTTGAATGTTTAGAAGTGAAATGAGACTTTATTGCAAGTAAATTCTGCTCATTTTTATCAGTCTATTCACACAATGTAAAGGGTAGATGGTGTAAACAAAAAAAGTGAACAACACTCAGTCGCCATTCGTGGAGAGTGCACCTACATCCAGCTTTGAAGAGAATCATGATGTCAGCCGTGCCGCTGTAAACCTGCTTAAAGTCCAGTGGAATGACATCACTGTAGAGTTTGAAAGCCTGGATGATGACGGCGTCCACTTCCCTCTGGCTCAGATCTGGCGTGTACTCAGTTATTCTGGAACGTGGTTGAGAAAAAAGGAACCTCATTGTGACATTGAGGAACAACAGTAGACCTCCCAGTCTTTTTATACACATGAGTAATCCATCTAGTTGTTGACATTAAAGGGCCATATTCTACATTTTCCATGTGTAATATTTTTTTTTCCCCCGAGGTCCTCTTTTTCATGACATTTGTGAGGGTTATGTACCAAAAATACCTGCAGTTCATGTTTATGTGACCATTTTACAACCAATTTATATGACTTAGAATTAAACAAACTCTACCTTTAAGATTGATATACAATGGGTTCCAAAAGTTTGAAACCACTGGTTTTGCATTTATTTCTAATTGAATACAGCATTTTTATTACAAATTATATTATCAGCAAATAATTTGAGTCAAAAATAGAATTTTTGAAATCTATTTTGTTACATGAATTTCAGGATTTCTTAGTACAGTATGTCCCCCCTTTTGCTTTAATGGCAATGTGCAGTCAAGCTGACATGGACTTCGTACAAAAACCTCTGAGAAGTAGATCAAATTCACCTGAAAGTTGACTAAACGTGAGCTTCAATTAAAGGGATAAAACAAAAAAAATCGAACTTCTGCAAAGGTCTTAAAATGGTCACAAATTTTCTGACCTGGAGGTGCAGAATCTACGAGTATTTCTTTATTTTACTTGTCATAATTTTTCTTTGCTTTTAAATTTTTCAACAATCTTTAACTTTCTGTTGTTTAGTTCCATGTTTAAATGAAAAAATCCCTCATTTTCACAGTGGTCTCAGACTTTTGGACCCCATATGTAAATGAGTACTATTCTGATTGGCTTCCCTGTGTTGTGGCTCATTCAAAAAGCACTCAGAGACAAAACACTCCTTATAACTTCTCTGTTGGCCGGGCTAAACTGCCGTAGTCCAAATTAGTGGCTATACCAAAATGTGTTGGTTTTGCATGATATAACAAATATAATGAATTCAAAACTGTTTTGCAGTGTAGTTTCCATTTATGTATGGACTGGGGATTAAATGGCTTGTTTTGAAACTTTCCCAATGTTTACATACCACGTCACAGACTAGCATACTACAAACATATTAAACTCTTTTATTCAAAAATTTGTTAGGAACATTTGATTGTATATAGGCCCTTATTTGATGATATAGACCCTTTAAGGTATTATAAACTTTCCAGCAGTCTTTAACTTTGGGTCTTGGATCCAGTTTCTGGTCCTGGACTTTGTAATCACTGGTAGGTATGACACCAGGTGGCCAATCAACAGCTCAAGTAACACACCAGTGACTAAAAATTTGAGGACTGAAAACTGGATTCAGGGTCAGGAGTTAAAGATCTCTGCTAGTTCTAGTAGTTCATAAAGTGGGTATTTTGCTCCATTAAACAACTGGAAGCACCTTATACCTGTATGTGATGGTTTTCTTCTCCCACTTGGGCTTGCCTGGGAAATGTCCAAATTTGGCTACGTCGGTAACTCCACAGCGTGGCTTCTTCATCACCTTTATGGTGTTTGTGTCTAGCTTGCCGGTCACCTCCAGCCCAAAGAACTCCTGCATTTTCTTCAGAGTGGTCTCAAAGTCTTGTACACTCACCCGCCTCCCACTGACGGAAGAAGTGCTGGAATCGGAGTAGAACTGCTTCAAATAGGCCTGAAAAAACAAACACAAGAAAGAGAATCATCAAAACAACAGAAAACTGATTAGGTTGGTCTCAATTTCCCTAAAAATACTGTAAGATTATGGTGACCATCCATAATACGTTTATCTATCTAGACTAAATGTCCAAACGTATCCAAGTATCCCTTCTAATTTGCATTCTACTTCTGTTGCTGACAGTTGTGCACCTACAGCTGTAATTTTCACATAGAAAAACATTGCCAGTAGATTGTAATGCTCTGGAGCAGCCACACATAAGCCCAAGGCAGCGCTGCACAAAGTATGACTGTGGGCCAAAATTGGCCCATGAAGATTTTTGATTTGGCCTGTCAGAAAGTTACCCCACTTCCTTCAGCCAAAGAGAGAAATAACTGATTTTTACACTGCCAAAAACTATAAATTCCTGTTTTCCATTTAAAATTACAAAAAAGTTTAATGTTATGAAATACATTTCTGAAATGTACCTATTTTGTCTTTGTGGCCCTCAGCCCACCACAAACATTGCACTTTGGCTCTACACGGCCAAAAAGTTCGGAAACCCCTGGTCTAAGTTCACCATGCTCAATGCTAAGTGTGGGCTAGAGGGGTATAAAGCCCCCCATCATTGCTGTGGAGCAGTGGAACTGCGTTCTCTGGAGTGATGGAGCTCCATCTAATACCTTGACGTGATCTAGAACCTCAGTATCTGACCTCACTAATGCTTTTGTGGCTGAATACAATCAAATCCTCACAGCAATGTTCCAACATCTAGTGTAAAGCCTTCTAAGAAGAGTAGAGGCTGTTACTTCAGCAAAGGCGCACAAACTCCTTAGTAATACTTTACATTTCAGAAGAAACGTTAGACGAGCCGGTGTTTTACAAACTTTGGGACACATAGTTTATCAAAGGATAATCCACATTAATTAACATAAAAGTAGACGTTAGAAAACTGGCCAATGTCCCTGAGACCAAGCCCAAACAAAGTAACAGGCAATTTGCATCCAGACAAAACATTATAACGAGCCAACAGGGGGAAGATAAATAGCTGTCTACCTCTGCTGCTTCTTGCTCTTCTGTGGATACAGGCTCCTGTGTGACACTGGGTGGGGCTCCATCGCAAAGTGCCAAACACACTGCCAATGTCAATGTAAGAAGCCCCATGTTCTCCATCTCCTGCTTCTTCTTCTGTAAAGCAGAGGAGCTTATATCTCCTGCTGTCATCCAGCTCTTACATAACTCCGCCCTGGGCGACGGTGTATATGTCATTTCCAAAAAGCAGCTCTGAAGTGGGGTATGTGGGGGAGGACCCTTCACTGTCTGATTTAGAGAAACACTGACATCCTGGGCTCTGTCCGAACAAGCCTCCTGTCAGAATGAATACATACATTTGTTTAGATTCGTGATGCAGCTGGAAGGGGCCCATTCAGATGTCTATCACCCCATCAGTGCAACATACCTGAGACAGGCTGTTTACTCCATTTGGAAAGTACAGACCCTCGAACCTTGGAATACCTTGAGGGACAACCCTGATTCAAACTTCCGAATTAACCCCTTAACATTCCAGGCTTATTACATACTAAGACTTAATATTCACTGACTACAGGGACTTGAATGCAAACTAATGGAGCTTTTCTTTGGTTATAGAAGTGCGTAATAAAACTTTGGTAGTAAACGATAAGGTAGTAAAAATACTGAAATATCATGAAATGAAGTAAAGAAAACAAAGCAAACAAAAAATACAGTCAACTATATGGCTGTCACTATCGCTCGTCTTAATTTTATTACTCAGTTTAAAAATATCATTGATTATAATTACCTTCTCATTCGTATGAGGATATTGTGTATTTTAAATTCCTTTCATACAGTAAGAAGTAGAGCCTGACGAACACTTATTTGTATGCATTTTTGCCTCACTGTATTTTTATTTGTTATGTAAAAGCTTCTTTAACTTTTCCCAGTGATGCATTTTGGAATCTTTGAAAGGATTTGCATAGTTAGCATAGTTTGTTATTGTTCAGTTGAGTCTGATTTAAACCTCTGATTAAATGATTAATGATCAAAACAATCAGTAGGTCACAGGATTACTAATGTAATCAATAATCTAAGTGGATCAGCAGCAAATGTGTTTAGCATGTCATTTGTGATGCAACTAGGATCTTAAGGGTCCCAGTGCAAAAAGAAATAAATAAAACAAATAAATAAATGGGTAACACTTTCTTTTGAGTGGCCCTTTGTAGATAATTAATAAGGTCTTAACAGAGCATCATTAACACAACAACAATATGCCAGTGAAGTACATTGAATACAGTGAGGTAAATATCTTGACGATGTACTGTTGATGGCCCTAATCCTAATCCTAACCTTAACCTCAACCCAAAACCTAATCCTAACTCTCACCCAGGCCCTAATCCTGACCCTAACCTTAACCTCAACCCAAAACCTAATCCTAACCCTCACCCTGGCCCTAATCCTAACCCTCACCCAGGCCCTAATCCTAATCTTAACCTTAAAATCAACCAAAAACCTAATCCTAACCCCTTGCTGTACTCGGCCTATTTAAGATTTTAGAGGTATAGATAATGAATATGAATATATGATGCTGCAGGTTGTAAAGGATCTGTTTGTGAAAAATAAGATGGGGGATGAGAGATAAACAGATATCAGTCTGTCTGTGTAGTGTTGACGGAAGCTAACTGGTGAGGCATGTTAAGAGTAAATTGTGAGTCATGGGTGCACATTTGTGTCAGTATCTACATGGGAGTTCAATAAGGAGTGCATCATGGAAGCCCTTGCCCACCCCCAGGCCCACCCCCAGCCCCATAGAGGCTCCACTGTGTGATACTCATCAGCAGTTTGCTTAGTGTGAGTTCCTTTTAGGAAATTCCACTTAGAGAAGGATTAAACTGTTTCTCCACATCTTCCTAACTATGTTCTTTGCTCCAGGCTGCAGCATTATTACATCTGTATTTGTGGTGGCCCTTCTCTTGTATTTACAGTCTTACTGTAAATTCAGACAGTTACTATACTTTAGTGCAGGGTACCGTATATCATGGATTACTGTACAGCGCTATAGGAATATCATATGGAGGTTAAAATAGAACAGTTTATCATATACGTATTGTACAGTTCTATAGACCTACAGTCGTATAATCTTATTATACTAGTACAGATTAGTATAGACTGTTTCTGTAAGGGTGATCTCAATTTTTTGTTTTTTTTAGTTTTCTGCATAAGTTTAGCAGATGTCCTTTACATTGTCCATAAAAAATCCATGATGATTGGACCAATAGAAATGCTCCACAATTGCTTAGAATAAAAACTCTTAATATTAACTTACATTGAAAGTACAGAACATTTTTGCACTCTCCTGCAAAGATACCATTTTGAAGATACTTGTTTTTCTTTGGACAGTGACAACGTCTTCAGTTTCTCCTGATGGAAATGATCACCAGGAATTTCTAAATTTTACATTATTGTTTTATATTATTGTAAATTCAGACAACTGCTAAAATTTACTACAGGTTGCTGTGCAAGCATTATAGATTATTATAAGACTCTAGGAACATTTTATTTAGGTGAAAATAACAGACTATTATAGAAGTATTATGCAACTACTGTAGTTTCTAATAGTATTGCTAGATATTTTATTTGCAACGGTCATTTTAAAGCCATTAGCTCCATTTTGTAACATACTATATACTGCTTAATGACACATTAACATTATATATGGTATAATGGTATACTGAATGGTATGCTGAATGGTATAATGGTATACTGAATGGTATGCTGAATGGTATAATGGTATACCGAACGGTATGCTGAATGGTATAATGGTATACTGAATGGTATGCTGAATGGTATAATGGTATACTGAATAGGATACTGAAAGGTATAATTGTATACTGAATAATATACTTAATGGTATAATCATATTCTGAATGATATAATTGTACATTGAATGATATAATTGTATACTGAATACATTACTGTCCTTATAAAACTGTACTGTATGTTGAGGCATTCAGTCTCTCTGTTGGTTTTGAAGTACATGGCTGTTAGTATTTCTGCCATTAGATGGCATACATGAGTCAGAAAAAAGTAGGGTCAGTACTGTGCTGAGGAGAAAAAATAAACACATTTGATTTTCGCTGGATTTTACCATGTAACATTTTGGTCAGACAAAAGAAGTTATTTTCTTGTACCCTACACTTTTTTGGGACCTACATTTTTCTTGTATTTTGTCCCCTCCTGAGGTCCACTTATGACTTTTGTGTGGGTTTATATACAAAAGTGCATTAATAATACATATAATCATACATTTCTATATGGTAATTTTCCAGCCTCTCTTTATCCTTTAGAATTAAACAGGCTGATTTTTTGCTACTGTTTCTTTAAGATGAATATATGTGAATGACCCCTCTTCTGATTGGCTGTCCTGTATTGTGTCTCATTTAGAAAACACTCCAGGCTGAAACACTTCTTGCGTGAATGGAGCAAAACTGCTGTAGGCTGAACTGGCAGATGTAAGAAAGTATTATGTTTGTGGCATCACAAAAACAATGTATTCAAATCTTTGCAGCTTAGTTTCCTCGTATGGACTGTATAGACTGGGGTGAAACTTTGAAACTTGTTTACACAGTACATCAAACTGTTCCATTTCAAAAATTGAGGAATTTTGTATTTTTCTACGATATGGGCCCTTCGAATAATTAATGAATTGATTACAAGTGGGCAGTAACTTCTTCCATTTGGTCAATTACATGCACTTAAGTATTTGCACTTTTGTTAACTTATTCTAAGTTATTTTCTTTTGATCAGTGAAAGAATTAATGAATCTCAATCAGTTTGGTGTAGCAACATTTTCACAGTTCCATTTATTTCATTATAGCTTTTGAAGATGGATTTTTCAGTGAATCTTCAAAATATTGTATGTTAAGTTGTAGTGTACACAAGTGCTTTTCAATTTGATAACAATCAGAAGTGGGTAGTAACTACTTCCATTGAATAAATGACACGCTCTTATGTACAATTAGTGGCAAAAAACAACAAACAAATAAAACTACTTAAAAAAAAACTACAAAAACAAAAAGGTATATTGAATTTTAAAGGGCCACTATGATAAACTGAATTTTTTTCAAACAGAAGACTTTGCTGTAGTATGTTTAACATGGTTAAAGTCTCAAATCATGCCACTCACTCTCCAGTCCATACAGTCCTTACATGGAAACTATTGTGTTTTGAATTTGTTTTTGTGATGTCATGAAAACAAGCACATTTACATACACTCTCAGAAATAAAGATAGTAAACTGTCACTGGGGCAGGGCCCCTCTTGTCACTGGGGTGGTACCCTCCAGGGTACATCTCAGTACCTTTAGTCAGGGAACATAACTGTACCATAATCCACTGAAATGATATTTTCTAAGTTGTACTGACTCCACACACCCCGTCTCGTCTCCAGGCTTTTATTTTACTGTTCTGTTTTAAATCATTCAGTTATGAAATGATACAACTCTGTACTTTTCACGTGGAAAAACGTACGTAAGGTATACACAACTATTGTACCTTTGAGGGAACATTGACATTGTTTGTCCATTGATGAATGAAAAATGTACCTGCACAGAACCTTTATTTCTAACAGTGTACATCCACCTATTTAACTTGTCCACACTTTATCTTGAACTTATTAGGAGTGTTTCAGCCTGGACTGCTTTCTGAATGAGGCAGCCAATCAGAGCAGAGCTAATTTACATATGTCAGTCTCAAAGTCACACAGTCTGCTTCATTCTAAGGGATAAAGTGAGATTGGACAGTGGTCATGTAAAAATGAATTATGACTGTTTTTGATATATGATCCCACGTAAATGCTTTGGGTGGACTTCAGGGACAAAAAATTCAAAGACAAGAAAGATGTAGGATAGGGGCGCTTTAGATTTGTTTGGAACACTGAACAGAAGTCATTCAGTCATTCAGTCATATATTCATTTACCATGTTCATTAGTATGTAGTAACATTTCAACAGATTCATTTTTTCTTACATTTTCTTACAGTCCTTAAAGTTTACATGTTTCAAGTTTCTGATATCTTCAAATGATATTAGCTTTACTAACTCAAGCATGTACTATGATTGCAGTGGAACTACAATTCTCTTTTTGGTTCATTTCACTGTTGTGTTGGTTTAGTTCCTGTTCTGCCCCGCTAAACTGCTATATGCTGAAAAGTAAATGTGTTGGGTTTCTTGACATCACAAAAACTGTTTTTGCTGCTTGGAATGTATGAACTG